TCTGCTTTTAAAGCGAAAGGAAGGACGGGCAGTCTGAACGCCATCTCTTGATTTTCGTGCAGCACATGGAACACCGCAGGCAGGCACCTACCTTGACAGAGTAGAGAGTGAAGAAGACAGGTTGCAGAGCCAAGCGGATGTAGTAGGAGATAACATCAACCAGAAACGGGTCTGTCTCTGCAGATTTGCTCGTGCTTGACTGCTGAAATAAACACAAGTGGCCCTCTGTTACTTCTCGGAGGGAGGTGCAAGGCGACTAGTTTTCCCGACAGAGCGCGACCCACTCAGCGGGTCAAATCAAACAGGTCAAATTGAAAATGGTGATTTCCAATGCACTGGAAGAGGTAAAGTGTTTGTATTCATGCTACGCTACCACATCAAAGCCTTAACTAAGAAGTGAAGATCTGTGCTGGTTTCTCCTTGCCATCTATGTTACTATGCATATACAAATGTGAGAAAGGTTAACAAATGGAAGGAACTGTAAGAAAATTGATCTCTATTGATCTTGTTTTACAACAAAATGTTGAGACTTGTGACCCCTTGTGAAGAGGCTAGAAGGGCATCACACAGCCAATACCCACAAGGCTGTACTGTCTTTGTGTCTTGTAAACACAAGTGACTTAACATTTAGCCCTGGAATGACGAGACTTTATATAGCACACACCACCAAGAAAACTGAAACCAAGATAAGGAAGCTTCTTGAGGCTCAGCCAGAAGCAGAGTCATTTCAGACAGAGTTTTGAGGGCGGCGGCTATTTCCCGCACTCTTACCATTTTGACCAGCTTGGGAATCATGTTTCCCAGGCTGTTAATGTTGCTCTCGAACCAAGGATCCACTCTTCCAAGGTAAGAGGCCAGGAGACAAGGTTTGCTGCTTGTAGCTGAAACATTCTCCTGTAAGACAAGAAAGAACAAACTGCTGTTCCAGACGATAGCTCCACTGGCTTTTTTGTTCCTGGCAATGTCTGTCTTTTCAACTGATAATCCGAGAGCAGGCAGTACTTCAGCACTGCAGAAAGGTTTTCTTCTTTGTACATACTGAAAGCTATACAATTAAAAGCTGCAAAGACTTTAATGTAGTCAAATTTAATGTGCCTGTTGTGACCTAATGTAACAATAACATGATTTTACCTTAACTGGAGAGGCGTTCTGCGGCTCGCTAGCGACAGGTACGTAGTAAATCTTCAGATTCAGCTTTGTTGTCAGAAAGGGACGCCGTGCCTCCCTCTTCCTATGACAGAAACCATATTAAGCAAAAAGCAAAAATGCTAAAAAAATACAGTACTTTAGCTGTAATAGAGGAAGCTGAACATGGTCTTTTAGGCTATTCTCTGGGATATCTCCAAAATAAGCCATTAATCACGATATCAGCAGGCTGGGTTCTAAATATTTCATGACGTTTTGCGTGAGATAGTGTGTCAGGGAGGGAAACGCCTCAATCATTTTAAGCGCACCCTTACCTTAGGGAATAATAGGCCTTTGCCAGCTTTCCTAGCACCTGGTCATCTCCCATCACCACAACGCGGGCAGTGTAGAGCCGCTGCTGCTTGCTCACAGACATCCCGCGGCTCCCCACTTTCCTCTGCAGTTTCCCGCTGGCACTGGGCTCCTCAAGCACACCGTCCTGAAGGAGAGCCATGCCGTCCGAAACCGAGGGCTTCATCCTGATGCAGCCCCTCCTCAACAGCCTGGCCTGCTCCTGCTCACTCCCACCACTAGGGGGCTCCTCCGCCACAGCCGGCAGCTCATTCGGAGGCAGATCCCTCTCGATCCCGCTGTCGTTGGACAGGATGGAGTGCCGTGTCATCTCCGGGCTGAAGTCCACTGAGAAATCGTTCAGGTCAAAGAAGTCTGGGCCCATGCTGTAGTGGTCGTAGGAGGACCCTGACCTAACAAACTTCGCAAGCTCTCTCCCTGTTTCCAAAAGCAGAAGAGGACATCATAAACATCCACATAATGAACAGCTCGTGGAGTTTGTGATGGCTGCCTGGGCTCTGCGTGTGAGTTTGAAGTAAGCAAGCTAATGCATTTGAAAATCACATTTTAATTTAGGAGAAGGAGAATTCTGAATGGATTTGTTGGAAGTTCTCACTCTCTGTGTTGGCACAACTGTCAGAAACATTCTAAGACACGCTTGTATTTCAAAGGGAAAAGGAGCCCAAAAATGGGATATCTGCATTGGTATCAAAACAAGTCAGTTTTCCCCCCCAAAAAATGAAAGCCAAATGAAGAAATAAACCTCACTTACACAACTGTTCATCCTCCCGCCAGAGGTGAAAGCTGATTTCAGGGTTTGGCAGGGGGACGCTACACAGAGACCCCTGCGACTGCACATCTTAATAGAAAGCAGAAAGGAACAGAACTTAAACATGAAAACAAACCATATTATCTGGGGTAGAAAGGAGAGGGGGAAGGAAGGGAGTATCAATAATATTCATTGGAAAAATCTCAATATCAGACATCAAAAATCTTTCGACCTTTCCTTTAATCCAGCTTCACAAGAAAAAATACCTCCTACAGGACAGGTGCAATGGCATACCATGGTCTGCAGTCCTGAGAATGTGTGCATAGAGCTTCTGCAGTCTCGCTGTGTACTGACTGCGGTCTGACCCCGCTTCCTCTGAACAGTGCTCCATGCACAACACCACTTCCTGGAAGTATGCCTCAACATCTTGTCCTCCGGCCTGCAACACAAAGGCACTATTAATAGCCACACACAAAACTGCTTCCTAAACCCATGATGCTCTAACCGGCAAGCAATTCATTTGGAATGACTTGGTCTCTCTACCTAGCCTTTTCAGCAGTTTTCTGAAACTTGGGATTCCCTTTTGCAAGTGGTTTGATAATGATTAATAATAATAATTCCTCACACTTCTATAGCGCTTTTCTGGACACTCCACTCAAAGTGCTTTACATGGAATGGGGACTCCCAGTGTGCAGCCCCACCTGGATGATGTGACAGCAGCCAAAGTGCACCAGAACTCTCACCACACATCAGCTATTAGTGAGGAAGAGAACAGCATAATGAAGCCAATTCATAGATGGGGATTATTAGGAGGCCATGATTGGTAAGCGCCAAAGAGAAATTTGGCCAGAACACCAGAGTAACACCCCTACTCTTTTTGAGAAACGCCCTGGGATTTTTAATGACTACAGTGAGTCAGGACCTTGGTTATACGTCTCATCTAAAGGACTGCACCTTTTTACAATATGGCTTTACGTGTCTTCCTCTCAAATGACAGTTTTTACTATTTGCATTTTTTCTCTGTGGTTTCTCACACTGTTGTTCCATCCTAGATGTCCGGGACACGGACAGTGGACACCTCACACACAATTCCCCCACCCCAGTTAAAAATAAATATATTAACATTGACACTGTACAGTAATGCTCAAGTTTGTCAGCGATATCATTTATTGGTAAGCACTGACTCAATCTTGAGGTTTTCCTTTAAACAGACTTTCAATCTTCACAGTGAAAGGTTCCGCAACACATGTCCTACCCTAAGATTAGCAGTCATGAAGAGAGTAAACCTGCTTGTCTGTCCAGGTATTCCTGAAGCTTGCATTACCATCAAGAACTGCACGCACAAGGGCATAGTCAGAAGCAGATCACTGCGCTGCGCTGAGCCGAGCATGGTGACTCACAAACCACACCGACCTCCAGAATCCGAGCCAGAGCAGGACCATCGCAGCTCTCCCCCAGCGCGGCCTGCAAGGTGTGCTGGATGACACTGCGCATGTGCCCCACGGGGCTGTGCAGGGGGCTGCTGGACTCGATGTCTCGGCTCAGCGCGGCCCCCGTCTCGCCCGGGAACACGCCGGGGTCTGCAAACACAAGCACCCTGCAGGGAAGCCACAGCCCGAGAGTGAGAATGTCTGAAAAAACACGAAGCACGTGCACGGCCTCATCTGGAGCGCCAGTTGTGCAACGTATTGCAACAGCACATACAAGTATAAAAACAGACTTTCTAAAATTATGCATGACCACTGCCTACAATACTTTTCTCCTCTCTTAAAGAAAGCTCTACAAATTAGATGTGAACTGCCGATATAAGTCTTTTGTGGCTTTTGTTTGTCTAACTACTACATGTTACAAACAACCATCTGTAAAGCTACCCATAAGAGACAGGTTATTGTACGCTGTATCTTTTCAGATATAGGTTATAATACACTCTGTATGATGTACAGTGAAGTGTACTTACTTTTCCTGGTATGGAAATTGGTCATTCTTTATGTTTTGCTCAGTAATAAGCATCCTCTGATATAAAAGACCTGCAAAACAGAGAGATGTGTGTTAGAGTAGGCCGGCTCATATGGATGTTCAAAACATAAGGGATGCCACCTGCTCCTTTCTCCCATCTGACTCTGGCAGGATCATTCTGAAGCCGATTGCGACGAACATCACCTTGCAAACGAGATGAGTCGATGACTCCATCCGCAAAGGTAATAAGACAAGCAGGCTACAACATGAAAAATTAAACTGATAACCAGAACTGCCTTACATGTTAGAAAGCAGGGGACACAGGAGAGACCCGATTCCCATTTCAAAGGAATCTGTCCTCTGCAGCAAGTCAGAGACGAAAGCCGTGCGGTCACACAGACTCTGTACCTGGGGTGTAGCGTTCTGTTTTAATCTTGACAGCGTGGCTGAGGCCGATCGTGCAGTAGGGCTCAGGGAGTGTTAACAACCGTTTGCAGAAGTCATACACCCTTTGATACAGGTCGTCAGGAATGTACGCTGCCTGCAGTAAAATGAGAAAGCACATTGTGAAGAAAGTCATGGTACTGTCCCATCAGTTCTCGGGCTCTGGGAACCCCTGGGGTCATCAGAGATTGTCCAGGATGTGGCTCCCAAAAAATAGGAAAGGAAACTGCCAGCAATGTTTCAAACGACATAGTGAACCTCCCCTGACAGCACTTATGATATACTGCATAATTTTATTTAAAAACACTTTCAATTAATCCATTTAAAACTTATGTATATGAGAAATACTCAGTAAAATTTATGATAAATTATGGTCACAATTTGCCTGTGAAATCAAAATACATGTAGCTGACCAAAAACAGCAATCTCATACTGAATGCCACACATTTAAGACTTAAATTAATGTAGACATAAGCATTTTGTTTCTGCCTTTTACATCTATGTTATATATTTTCATGCTTGAATTTACAGGCATCTTTCAGAATCTACTACTTTGCCTACATTGTAATTTCCTTGTTAATTATTTTCCGACTGTGTTCCCTCATGGTTTGTATGAGTAGAAAACGATACTGGTCTGCAGCACAAAAGCTGCCTTAATGAAGCTGCTAGAACATGCCAGCTAATATTTTACACACCCTGCACACATAAAAACAGAGCACACGAGGTACAGGTATGTAGGAAACTCCATTCAGTTTTATCGTGATCTCACAGAGTTGTAAGGCTGAACCATCTTGGGAGACTTCTAATTGACCACACATATAGTTGATATAAGCTGTTCCTCACTGATATTTCACCTGATTGGTGCTCATAAACATGGTATAGCTATGACTGACCAGTGCAACAATCCTAATATACATCTGATAAGAAACACCACAATGTACCAGCATGGGCTAACATTAGTATAAACCTGCATCTTCCATTTTTAAGTGGAATTCCAACTCCCAGTCTAATTTGCAGCAAGTTCTGCTTAATTTTAAATTATATATGTGAAGGATATCTTGTGACATCCATGTTAAGCCCATTACATACAGTATAGAGGAATCATCAGAGGTTTCTTAAACAGACACAAGATAAGCTAACATAAGAAGGATTATACTTTCAGTCCATCTTTCTGTTATGGCTAGTAGGAATTTTATTGTCCATTCTGAAGATTAAAGAGCACATTCCTCTCCAGTTCCCAGACTGGGAATAAAACACTGTAGTACCTCACTGACAGACTTCCTCCGGTCACTTCCTGTCATTCAGCATTGGGAAATCCTTCCTGAAGCTATTTTTGATGGAAGCTGTTTCTGTTTAGGGATATGTTTGCAACGACAACAGGAGAACGACGTGCTGCAATTTGTTTTCTTGACCGTGCCAGACAGCAGAAGCAGAATGACCCACCTGGATTATTGTGTACATCAGTGTGTGGAGCAGAGGTATGATGTACAATTTATTGTCAGCCCTCTCCGCCTGAAAAGACATCAGAATTGGGATCACCTTAGGATAAAGATATTATCGGTATGTGTTTTACAAAAAGTGCAGCCCATCGTCATGTCATGTCAGAAGATCATTTCAAACACTTGAGTGTTTGATCTTTAAATGCCTTTTTGTCTTACTAAAATCCTACTAAAAAATTAACGGGATGCTTATGTCATTAAAATGTACTGTGATTACCCTAACGACTTAAGACAATTCTTTAGTTTCAATTATACATTAAACAAAAAAATCTTTAAAAATCCTGAAACGAGGTTCACAGCATCCCCCTTCTCTTAATGACAGACTTATTTTTGTGTAATCTCTCTTCTCAAGCAGGTTTTGACCTCACACCTTTCTCCAACCCTCTCCACTTTGCACTTCCTGAGTGGCCTCTCTGCCCCCTCCCCTCTCCCAGCTTGTGTACTTCTGTGCTGTTTAGTCTTTGCAGTCTGCCCTGTCTTTCTCACACCTGAAGAAGGCTTCACAGCCGAAATGGTCCGTTTCCTCTCTTCTCTTTCCAGCCTGGAATAAACCTATTACTTGTTCCTTTGAAATTCTTACAAAGTCTAGGGATTTTTTTTTTTATAAAAGGCAAAATGACTTACCCTTTCTAATTCTTTCACAACTATTTTAACCAATGAGATGCTTTTTGCAGGACTGTTCTCAATTTTCTTATGCAGAGTCCATCTTAGCATCCCTGTTCCAAAACAACCACATGTAAGCACACCTCTCTTACAATGCAAGTATGAAGAGTGCCCTCTGGTGATATCAAATATATCACATTTATCAGCAATATCTCATGAACCACAAAGATGATGTTTCAGTTGAGCTATTCGCCTTGTAGGCAATGCTTACTGGAAACAGTATAGATGTTATTAGTCAGTAATTAACCATAGAAATGAATGATACGCCTCACATGCTTATCATTTCTCCAGCCAGTGGCTATTGCAACCCAGTAGCGCTCTTAGTTAACACTGCTGTCCAACTCGGTGCACAATGGGCTAACACTTTTGGGTCAGTAGGAGAATTGACTCGTTTCCCTCACAGTGAGTTGGCAATGGAAACGTGCAATAATAGTAATTACTATAAACCACAGATCGCAATTATTTTTAAATGTGAGAGATGATCTCGTACTTTCAAGCCCTGTCCCTCAAAAACCCTACTGATGCCATCTTGGTGCTACAATGAAAGAGAGGCAAAAGGAGGAAACTGGCCAGCAGTATGTACACTACTCTTAATAATAAAAAAGGACTGATGTGACACACTACCTCGGATGGGCTGGGAGGCTGGGTGTTGGCCTTCTAACTCCCGCAGAATGGCCTGGACGCTGCGGAAAATGTCCGATTCCACAGCAGAGGACACTCTGTAGCCCACTGCAGAGTTACACGTGGGTGGGAACAGAGTTAGCCATGGTTGCAAGCAGTAACTTCAGCACACTGGGATATGCAATGCTCTGCCCTGCACATAAGGGTTTCTGCTGTATGCCTGGCTATCACATCTTGCTTTGTTGCTTTATTGTTTCACTGAACTGACCGTGAGATACATCCATCTATTCATTCATCTTCTACCAGGTTGGTCCAATTCAGTCTGGAGCTGGAGTCTATCCCGGCAAGCAACGGGCACCAGGACAGGTGCACCTTGGACAGGACACCAGTCCATTGCAGGGCACACACAGACACACACACCAGGGTCAATTTTCCCTGAAGCCAATTAACCTACTAGCATGTTTTTGGACTGTGGGAGGAAACTCACACAAACACGGGGGCCAGACAAGTTACATACCTAAAACTCTGTCATACTAAACCTTGTAATGACACAAATTCAAGAGAAACAGTAACAGCTTTCGTTTCTGTACAGATCTTTCAGTTTAAGGATTCTGCATGTATATTGGTCCTGCATTTCAATTTTTTAAACAGTTAAACAGAGCAAGTCTTCCTGGAAAATAACATTTTTATACTGGGCATGCTGTTTGCCATAAAAGATTTGGCAAGCTATTTTAGATGACTAGATTTCATACAGTACTTAAGTTGCAAAACGTTATTTCTACATTCTTTCCGTTAAATACCAGCTCATCTGACATCCCCTTTTGCAGTCCCGCAGAACAAAATGAAGATTTTCTGTAATTACAGGTGGGACAGTAAGTGGCTGTGGGATCTCAGCCAATAGGGAAACATCATGTGGGATACATACTGTGTTTATGACAGCATGGATCTCATCCCAAACAATGGATGAATCATGGAAGATTTTTTAAATTCCTCTTATGTACCATTAATAACTACAAGTGCATTTTTTAGCGTAACCTTTATAACGTCCTTTGAGGCCAAGAAACTGGTTTGAAATAGCTGCACACCTTTCACCTCCATGTCGATCTTGGCTGCAGGAGACTTTCAGGAATCCAGGAAGACGCCACCTCACTCGCATTGAGGGCAGACGATCACATCTGTGAAGAAGAGTATGCACTGGTTTATTATGGATGCTTTTTGAGGGCTTATTTTTCCAGCCTTCTCAACGCTTTAATTGCAAAATCTTTTCCTTAACTCACCTCTCTGAAACAAAAGTTCCTTAAATGCCGACGGTGTGCAGAAGTGTCTGCACAGCTGTATACCAAACCTTACACATTTCATTGCAACACGGATATGCAACAGCACAGCATCAAACACTACAAATGACCAGTGCATTAGTTAGAACAGTCGTGCTCACGGCGCCCACGTTTCAGTGCCTGATCAGCACAGGTGATTTTAACCAGGAAGAGAAATCGCTGCCTTGCTACCCACATGAAAGACAATGATAATGGAACATTTATACTAAAGGAGGCTGTGTGTGTGGGAGTGGGGTGTTGATACGAAGCTACACATAAGGAATTGGACTATATCTAGAGCCCCGAAAGTAAAAGCACAGGTGCATAACTTCATTCCTTCTGAATGGATTATGGGTCTTTTAATAGAAACCACCCACAGCTATGGAATCTGGTGACTAAAGTATCATTAAAAACAGAAAACAGTTTCAAGTTAGAAAAATAATGAATTATAATTTAAAGCACAGTGAAATCTATAAGGGTGATAATTTGTGTTAGAAACCAAAATAAAGCATCATGTATACATGGTAGTAAAGGTAGTACAGACTGATGATAATCAAGGCTTCATTGAACCAGATACAAATAAACAAGTACACATTTCTCTTTTGAAGAGAATAATGCACTTTTCAACATTGATGCCTAAACTTTTATAAATAAACTTAAGGGTGGATTGCACAGGTTTCTTTATCTCCTTTCTTAGTAATGTTGCTTAACTTCTTTAGAGAGCATAGCCTTACAAGCATGGTGTTACACCATGTCACTGCTGAATGACCTGCAGAGGAACTAAACAAACACGAAGCACATTCTATAAACAGCTAATGCACATACTGTAAACAGAAGGTTAAAACGCTTCTTTGTATGTTCCCAAAACTGTGCATTATGTTAATAATACATTTCAAATATACCTTTATGTGAGCAGTAACGCAAACTCAAAAAGCTCCCCTAAACACACTGGAAGACATTAAAAATTAATTACGAGGTTTTGTTAAGACTTAGAAATCACAACATGTTCAAGCAGTTACTATTGCTAAGAAAATGCTGAGGACGTGCGATTTTGAAAATTACAGGCAACAGCAGCTGTTTTGCTCTGCAAAGGGCACAAATGCAGCAGCAAATATTCTATATTTCTAGATTCTAGATTCTACCCATTTTCAGCATGCACGGTTTTATCCAGTATTTCATCGATACTAGAAAAAAAGCAGAAGAGATCAAAACAAGTCAGCACCTGTTCCAGAGTTGACTCTGCAAAACGATCTATGTGACCTTCTGCCGAACAGTCTGCTTACTCCACAAAAAGGCATGAAAAGTTCAAGCTCCTAGTGTAGATTTAAACTGGCGTCTCACCTTCCTCCTCACAGAAACCCAATCCTCAGAACTCCTGGACACAAAATTCGGGTCATCTCTGGATTTCAATTTGAACTTAAGAAACAGTGGGCCCTGAACAAACACTCTAGAGAACGAAACTATTTCGACTGAAAAACGTACTTCCTCTAATGAAAGCAGGAGTGGAGGGGGGTTGCTGAGGGGGAAGCAGATGATGGGGAGGCTGGGGGGATTTTTCAGTGTGCATGAAAACAGTTTTTCAGTCTTTTCCTTCTTCCCCCCCCACAGCTCACAGAAAGGCCTTACATTTGCTCGCTGAAGGATTTAAGAGAAGATTTAGCGCTGATCCCTGCACACTGCATAAAGCTGCTACCTTATGAATGGCACCAAGCCGATTTTCCATGAGCTTCCTGAAGTGCTCGTCTATTTCTTTCTTTGAGCAAGCGGTTTGACGCGATCTGGAGATATATTACTAATTAACACACTTCCCCTCCATTGAAGTGCACAGGCACACATCAGTGCAATCCTTTTGTGAAGCATTTCATTTCAACAGCCATAACTGAAGAGAGCTTTTTTCATTAAGCAACAATTGCACAGGAAGGTCTTTCAGGTTCAATGCAAGTTTGGGGACTGACAGGCCCTCCTGTATAGCTTACCACAGAGAGAAGTGAATTTGCATGTTTACATGCAGTACCTGTCTAACGCATCTTGTTTAATGCAATGTAGTATTTAAAAGCAACACAGTGCACTGAGCAGGATAACAAATGCTAGTTATTTTAAATGCAGTTTATCTATCCATACATTACCTATAGTTGTTTCATCCAAATAAGGGTCAGACATAAATGCCACTAAAGGGTGAAATAATTGTGCTATACATAATTACAATATATGAAGAAATAATACTTTAATACCAAATGGAGTATAAACACTCTTTCAGATAATTGTACAAACACTGCATTGACAGCATTTCCAGCAAACATAGGTTAGATTGACTGAATCTCAACTGGCTTTAGTTTCAAAGACTACAGACGTTCAGTAAAAAAAAAAGGAGACTGTGAAAGGATTCAAGCATTCAAAATCCTCAAAGGCACCGGCAAAGTAACTCAAAGAGACACTGAGCAACTACAAAGAAATAAAGTAGAAATGAAGACAAGACAGAAAAAAGCGGGGACTTCTTCAAAACCGAGTTCTGTATGTCTTCAAAACCAAAATGTCAAGCCAAGCTGTTGAAGCTGATCGTTTGGACATCATTCAAACAAACAGGCCTGTTCTGAAAAGATTTTATTACTGTGCCATGCGAGGGCAAATCTCAATCTTCTTTACTCTGGCTTTTTGCACATAACAGCTAGATGACATCCTCAGATCAATTAGCTATTAACTTGGTACTTGGTAGCTACTAACAACCCAACAAGTCAGATGGGCTGAATGGCCTCTTTTCATTTACAACCATTCTTATGACTTATGGATCTGGTAAAAAAAAAAATAGTAAGTGATGCACAATTTATGCAACGACAGTAATACGGATATAAAATATGAATACAACATTGCCAGGCTTGGAGAACCTTTACCAATTTTAAGACAGTAAAATCACTGGGTCCACATTAACTATGAAACCTTAGGACAACAGGAATGTCACACAGCCACGGGTCAGTTCCTCTAGTGTCATTAAACTGTAGCTTTAACAGAATTTATTTTCAATGGGAGAGGTGCCACTCTGTCTCCTCAGTGAAAGCATTTTCATTGGTTACGACAAAATTGCCTGTGGTTTGAAATTGTATTATTTCGATACGCTGACATACATCACACACTTTGCTCTCAAAGGTTAATTCAGTGGGCTGCTCACACTCAGACGACCACTAAGGATCTTATCTGAGTAATGTAGCTGCATCCTATTAACATAATTTACAAGAAATATAGAGAGGGTTCTATTTTAAGATTTCTGACTTCCTGCACCGTAGTTTGTCGTCTAAGCAAGCAGCTCTCTTCAAAGCAGGTTATTTCTAATAATTTTCTGTACATGCAAAACTTCAAAATCCCACAGAAAACCTGCTGAAAACAAGTACACATTTCAACCCTTTTTCAACATCTGTTTTTTTTCATGATTATGGGGCAAAATCTATTTCCACGAGCCTGTTATTTGGAATGACCCCCTGGCACTGGGTCACACTGTTGACCCACAGTTACAAATGAAAGTAGTACACGACTGAGTCTCGCTCACGGTCCGCTCTCTACTACAAGACCACATTTTGGCACAGCTTGCTGGGGACAGGACATTTTCTCTTTGCAGGCCTCTTGATAAGGAAGGAAAATTATGCACCAAGAAATGACAGAACAATGTATTTAAAACCCTTAAAAAAAACAAATTCTCATCACTTCCCCGAAACAGCTAATGTTGTAAATGTCATCATGGTCAAAACACCCTTATCAAATCAAAACCTCGGTTAACACTTCACAAATTCCCTTCCTAGCACAAAGACGAAGTCATAGCGTTGGTCTGACATGCGGAAGTTTTACAGTTAACCAGTTTCAGGTATCGCAATAGGAATTCACTACTGGCTGTGAGACAAAGTTCAAGAAGCCAGAAGGTTCAAGAAAGTAGGGCCCAAACAGACAGGGAAACAGACAACTAGGGGCAAAGGTCTAAGTTATTTCCAACATTCCCCAACACAACACCAGCCCCATCTGCAGTTTTTATTTAGATTGGCGCAAACCTTTAGTCATGACAACTCCTCTTCTTTAAAAAGAAAGTTTGACTTACCTCATTAAAAGCACAGTAAAGTACAGACATTTACTGCACGTCTGTTACAAGTGTAGTATGATATAAAATAGAGAAAAAAAATATGGATAAATATTAACTTTGGTCACATTTACCACAGTAAAATCAAGGCTGGTGTTGGCTTTAGAAAAACATATTCCTTTTGGACTCTCATGTTTTGGACAACACGAAACTCCAAGGTAATTTGCGCTCATCAGCGTTCGGTAACCACTGAAATCAAACACGTCATTGGCAAGCCATTAGTGTTTCTCTTTTCCGTCCTCAGCTTCCTTCAAGACACCTGGATGGCCTCCTGAAACCAACAACTCTAAAGAAGTGGCCCGTTTCATTGGGTCATCGGGACCACTCACGCCTCTGTGTCCCATTGGGCAGAGGAAATCAAAGAGGGTTCAGGAAAACTCCCGTTTGAAGCCTGAACAAAAATACCAAGGAGTACAGAAGGAAAACTGGGATTTTCCCTACTGTGTAAAAGAGCCATCCACAGTAGTGCTTCTGGAGTTTAGCAACAGTACTAGAAGCTTTCAACATTTTAAACTTTTACAAACACAGCAGTAAGGGCATGTGAACTGGCATTTGTCATAACAGCACTTGTAAAGGAATGCTTATGAACATTCATTTTTATTCTCCAGTTATCGTAATACATCTCCTGGGAATGCACACTAGATTTCTATTAACACCTGTATTTTCCCCACAATATCTTAACAGTCTTTTTACATGTCTTGTATCAAAACAGCTTTTTGTTTAGGCTGGAGGCCAAGGAGGTAGATGGAGAAAAACAGTGATACTAAACGGAGAGAAAATTAATCAATTTGCTTCCTGCATTTACAGTAACAATCTGAGGAAGTGGTATTGGACTACTGTAATATGCCAGCTACGCTCAGAATCGCTATCCTGTATGAAAACAATAGGGCTATAAAAGTGATTTATACAGAGAAAGATGGATGGAAAATGTATTATATTAGGAGGAGGCTACACAGATGAAGTAAACCAGAATAAACAAGACTAAGCCTGTGTGAAAGTTTTGAGCCACACACACTAACGAGCTTGTAGCTCCACCGGGTTACAGAAGATTGCGTTCGGTAATTGGTCTGAAGACAACGATATACTCAGCTGTGGTAGTTATGTGGTATGTGGTCGTTCCGATGCTCCAATCTTAAAGAGCACAAAAATCATTTACATGGGTCTCAGGCTTTGCAGCTCATTCTGAATTTGAGCAACTATTTCTTCAATAAACATCCAAACATCAGCTAAAATCTGGGAATCTGCTTCCGAGAGTGAAGCCATTGGTTGCCTAGCGTGTACACAAATTGGTTTCTCCGCTTAGTTGCAGCTGTCAGACTGTTCTCTCAGCTAATTTGCTACTGTCCACCAATTGTCTTCACAACCCCAGTTCCCTCTGCTTGACAGAAAAGCCGGGGGTTTTTCTGAGGAAGGGTTCCAGTCAGATAAGCCCCCCTGTGTGTCATAACAAAAAAACAGACACCTGCAGTGACAATGAACCTCCAGGGAGAAAAAGAGCCTTTTCTATTTATATGTCCTGCTTTGCAAGAAAGAAAACAAAGCTATTTAAAAGATTTATGTTTATATATATTAAAATATTTAAAGAGGAAGTCAGATTTGAAAAGGGTGTGGGAGAAGGGAATAATAAAAATATTATTTATAATAATATCAGCCTCAGAGATTTTACTCAGACACAAAGTGTTTTTTGTTTTTTTTCAGGCTTAAGTAGACACAGCTAAAGTTAAGGATTCAAAACTGTGTCTCTTGAAATGTTTATTTCTGGACCATAGTGCAATGTGCTCATTTCACAAGGTGCCATAATCGCATTTTCCATCATAGCTTGCTCCTTCTTTATTTTTTACAAAGAATCATCACCATTCACATTACAAACGCCCGAAATCATTTTTTGCAACGCTTTTTTTTTTTATCAACAAGCCAGTGTTGACAAAACTAGGTCATGTTCTTTAGTCTGGCTGTGCTTCTGTGTAAGTCTAGATATGCATTCCCTGATATTTACTTATAGCACAAAGGACTCTGTCTCAGAATAAAATAAATACCATTTAAGAACTTAAAAGAGAGACGACAGCTGACTTAATGTGCTGGCATAAGACCCTTTCTTTTATAGACGGAATAAGCTACTAATATATTAATGCGGTGTACCAACTCCTGCAGAGAGCCCATCCCATAACATACTTCTAAGGGTATATTTGCAGCTAACAAGCACATTTTCTGAATCCAGCAGTAATTCTGTAAGTGCGTGATACTGAATACTGAAACACTGAAACTGTGGCTCTGACCTCAGTGCAGTCGAGTGTACTGTATGGCTGAACTACAGCAGATTTAGCTGCACAAGTTTACTCACCACACACCAAAACAGCCATGTGAGATGGCCTTTAACATTTGTTAGAACATACTTTGGCTGCTGGCTTACCTTCCAGGACAAGTTGTTCTTTTTGTTTCAAGAAAAGAAAACTAATTTAAAGAGTGTGAGCATGCAAAGTGTAATTCATGCCTAGGGATTTCATTGTCTTGTATAAGCCGAGTTAGGTCATTCAAAGCTTCGGGATGAGGAACTTATGAAGAAACAAAAGCTGCAAATGTCTTAGCCACCAGCAGTATTGCCCGTGTGCCTGGCAGTAGAGTAAAGGAAACCAGTAAGCCAAAGTGGGTTGCAATGGCCATATACTTTTATATATATATGGCTTTAAATATAAACATTTAATAAGACAAACTAGATATATCACTTAAACAACACAATCCCCAAATTACATCTTTTACTTAATGCCTTAAATTGATAAAACTGACTGTGAAGCAGATTTTTAATTAATGTCAAATAAACTCTCTTCAGAACACATTTAATTAATCCAATTATAATGGATTTGTAACTTTGTAACTCAAATTACTACTAAAGTTAAGCAAGAAATTAATAAAAATGTTAGTTAAAGCAAAAAAAAAGGGTTCTTTGTTCAATGAAAGCAATATTTGTCCTGGCCTAATTTCACAAATGTTTTGGGGACAGCCAAGAAAAAGTTAAAAATAGTCAGAAACGTTGTGGGTGCATTCAAATTTACCATATGAACATATTAGAACTTCAGCATGTACAGACCCAAATAGATGTAGATTTAAAGGCTTATATATTCAATCCTGTCTGGTAAAGACGTAGAGTAGATTTCTACCTCCACCCATCCTGGCAGCTATCACCTTTCTTCAGCCATGTCAACTATACAAGTGCCTTTCATTTTCCGATATATGACCCACTCTTCAGCAGAGCACAGAACCTGCATCATCTAGGAAACAGGAACTTTATATAAAGGCACATTTATATGACCTGCACTGCATGTAGAAACAAGAGCTTTCATCTAGAAAGCAGAAACGCACTTCCTCTCAACAGAAACCCCCTTGAGTGGGGTACATGCCTGTGGGCCAGGAAAAAGGATGCAATCACACTACATTACCCACTGTCTGCTCCATAACAGCCAGGGAAATTACTTGAGGTAAAGGAATTGTATTTTTGAAACACGTTTTTATTGATTTGTCTGCACAATTTTACATTACACTTCTAACAAGTAAAGCTAGAGTGCTGCAGTAAATGTTAATTAAGGGGTAAGACCTAATTTAGAACATTGTGCACTATGGTGGTCACCACACACCTACCGGGACATCTGGAATGGGTCAAAAGAACAGTCACCAGGTATACTCCTAGGTTTAAAGGAACCTCTTACCCTGCCAAGTTAAATGAAAGGAATCATTTTAGTCCTGAACAGAGCAGATTGCGAGGGAACCCGAACTACACAAAATTCTTATCAAAAGTACAAAAGGCCTTGACACGATCAACCCACGGGGCTTCATCAAGTTCTACAGTGAAATGCACAAGTGGAAACTGAGGTGAAGAGCATTTAATGCTGAGAACAGGAGGAGCTTCTTTACACAAAGGATGGTAGGGGTCTGGAACAAGCTACCAAGTCACGTTACTGAGGTTCACACCCTGACTTTTTTTTTTTAAGATCCTCGATTACTTCCCAACCTCCTCTTGTTTGCAAGCTTTCACGTTCTTAGAAATAACCATGAGTTCAGAAAAAGGCATACGAGTCCCAACAGACCATGTCATTAGAGTACATGTTTACAGTAGTTTTCTAAATCAGTGAGCTCATGGCAAAAAAGACGGTTACATTTACGCTTTTTCCACCTCTGAAATTAAACGCAGCATCACCAAATGCCAAACTTGAAAAAAAAATTCTTTAACTTCATTAGTAATACATAGCCTCTACAGTGGTGGGTACACCTAGGATGAATCATGCCGTTGCCTAAGGTCTGTATCAAAAGAAACAAAAATACCCGTACACTGGAGCTTCCTGCACTGGCCTGTCACCTCCATCACTGCCACATGTTCTGGCATTCCAAACGTGGCACAGTGGGACCTGACTGGCAACACTGTCATCAAACCCACTGCTGGCGATTTAAGAACAGCGAGCGCAAGCTTCAGTTAAAACCCTGCACCTCTTGCGCGGATACTGCCGATCTCAGCTTTCTGCTGAGCGCTTCAGTCAGGCACAAGAGCTTGCTTCCTCTTGAGCAGGACTCTGCCTCTAGGTATCTCGCTGCAGTTTCTAGAAGTAAACGAAGCAGCTATTTGTGTGGGGCAGCTCGATCGTGCCGGAAAAGATGAACTCTGCGAGGTGAAAACATTTTACACATACAGTACGTGAAGCAACAACTTATCTCTGTAGCGCAGGGGGGGCTGCAAGGAAACAAAAGCAGAAATAAAGGAAGCAAAACACATTCTCCACAGCTGCAGCTCCTTAACTTTGCAAAGATGGTAAAAATATTTTTGGAAACCTCAGTGTTTTTGCTTCTATATTCTTTGCTTGAAATAACAAAATGAGTTTAGGTTGTACAGCTTTTGTTTTGTTTTTTTTTTATGCATAGTGCCAACTTAAAGAAACAACAACATTCTTCCTCATGCCACAGATACCTGGCTCTTACCTTCAGGGCTTTGGCTTTCTGCCATATCTGGCAAAAAAATCACAGATAACAGATTTTTTTAGGATACTTCCAGATCAGCAATCTGAAAAAAATAAACAGGAAAACAGAGAATAGTCAACGGAAAATATTTACGCCATGGTTAACCTTTGGAAATTCATCAATTAAAATATAAATGTGCCAACACAACAGACAGGGTGGGGCACACACAGGGCATGATTTATAGCAGTTTATTCTCTTTCACACATTAACCAAAAGCAGCATCCAACAGACACTACGGATTGCATTGAATTAATCAAGTGTTAAAGGCTCATTCAAATTTCACAACTAAACTCCTGCAGAGAATTCAAACTAGTCAGTTCCTGTACTAACTCTCTGCAATATTCCCAAACCCATGCGATCTCAGACTATGCCTCGTATAGTACAAGAACCAGTGTTTACTACAGACTACTACCGTTTACTGCATCAAAACGGAAAATCCATTCAACCACTGTAATATTCCAAAGAAATATAGGTTCACGTCAGAATAGGTACAGATGAAAGAACCTCCTATGGAGTTTGTTGGAGTGAAATGGTCATAACCCACTGAATTACTGTCAGACCTAACCTGGCTGTCTATTGACAGTGGGAGGAAACCAGAAAACCTGGGCAACCTGTTCGGACAGAAAAAAAACATGCAGACTCCACACAGACAGGTTCGCTTGTTAGAATTGAACCCAGAACCCCTGAAGCTGGCAGCAATTAATTACAATACCAGCATTTTACTATTTACCAGAAAATAACACCATGTGATAACACTCAAATTGCAAACTAATGTACTTTCAAAGAGTGAACGCCAAACTTTCATTACTACAAAGCAGTAAAAATAATAAAACTGTATTGGATTATAATGAAACAGCATGGAACAAAAACAATGCATACATATATATATATAAACATTTTTGGATTACAATTCTGTAATGTAGTTCTTTTCTTAAGGAATAATTTACAGAGTATTAGATCAAAGATTAGACACTTGGGGACAACAGAAAATATCTATAACTTGTAATCAAGTTACATAAAGTTCTAAAACACTTTGTTTATTGAATGACTGCCAGAAAATCAAGCAATGATTTCTGTTTGAATTTAACCAGTGTTTACACAGGAACAGGAAATTTATGTAAGAATTTACAGTAACTAGATAAAAAAGGTGATTTATTGAACTGTAATCAAGCGTGATAAAAAACGATGTTTTCTGACTTGGTTCCTTCACAAACCTATTGATAACTCACTCCCAGTTGTATTGTTTTGGGAAAACTATACTTGACATGGGAATACAATGCTAAAAACTGGAAAAAAATGTATCTTCTTTGAGAGAATAATGCCCTTAGACACATCTAAAGATACGGTGTGAGATTATAGTTCCAGAAGAATTATTATTTTCTGTATTTTGTTGGCCTTGTAAAGATAAGACTAGATATAAGTGCCAAGTACAAAGCTCCTAAACTTCATAAACTGCCCAATGTATGAGTTTTATTTGCATATCTGACAGTTCTTTAGAGTACTGAACAGAATGAAAGATACATTTGGTCAACCTTGGCAATGTGCTTGTTTCACACTATACTTAAAAAATATATTTGTTCATGTATTTTTCAAAAAATAAGATCATATTTTTATTAACCCTGTGGAAAAATAACAATCTGTGGATTGCAGCTCAACACATACTGCAGGCTATTAAAATAATGTTTATCTATTTTCACCATGATAAGTTTATTACCAGCTGCGCTCAAAGTCACTGAGTCCAACTGGAGGACAAAGTAACACTCCCCTGGTTTAGAACATTGTATCACATGCGTCTCCTGTTGGTCTTTTTCCATAGTGAACACATTTCCCTATTTATTGTGTTATGTAATTCATTGTACACTGTCTTTCCTAGACTGTAATGAACAGTTCAACGTACTCTAGCACACAGAATAGAGTTAAACCTTAAAACAGCTGATGCACTGCTTCAGGTCCAAGTAATGTTACCTTCCTTCCACGTAAGCTTAATAGCAACCATTTTTTTCACACGCTATTTTTTACTGGAATAGTTGGTGAAGATCAAGACGTCACTGTCTGCTAAGCCCTTAGGTTATGGTGGAGCTATTCCTGTAATCTTGAAATGTTGGCCTGATTTGGAGTTTGGCCCTATCAACCTGGAAACCCTTAACTGCGTACCTGGATACATTCGTGTATAACCGAGTAGCCTAAACTAGGTCCAAGCACGCCGTGAAGCCAATAGCGACAGGCTAGATGCAGCAGCATCGGTCGGAGGTGCTAAGGTGAACGATTCTCACAGAGGCTAGTTCAAAATGAAACGACAGGGAAAATCACTTTGCGACAGCTGCAATTATCAACCATTCCTCTCTGTTTTGCGCTAAAGTGCGCCCCACGGTACCGAAGCAATTCTTGCGATCTTGGAGAAAGACACTGTTCATTCATGCTTCTGTTAGATTTGGTTTCAGCTCCCAGCGTCGCTCGAAACCCTTTGCTGATGTTAAAACGTTTAAAACAATTTCACATAGAATAATTAAACTCGGGGTGGACTATCGGGCTGTCTCCAGTGTGCATTCTTGAATGACCCTGTCCACTAAAAACAGGGCGTCTGTTTTAATGACAACACGACACTCTGCAGGGTAATGAGGACTCGGCCGGACAGCCTTCCTGGCCGCCGCAGCGTCCGGTAAACAGCACGAAAACGAAGAAAAAAAAACTTCCTGGTTTGTTTGCCCACTTATTAACAATGAAATGTGGATATGATGGGAGCCAACTGCTATTTCTGGCCCTTGTTCAGTTCCTTTTTAAACCACGACTTTGAATTAATGAGAGGCAGCGGTTAATCTCATAAATACTTATGTATGACCTCGAAACAGCCTCCTTCCACAGTGAGAATATTATTTGCAACCAAGTATATAAATATAATTATTAAGGGATTTTTTCTAAAGAAAACGTCTGTGTTCTGGAAGAACAGCTGTAGGTTTTTAATTTTACATGTTTTTCAAAAGTCATTAGACATATGAAACGGCGAGTTCTCGGATTTCACAATATTATTTTACGACGTGTCATTCTGTATCCGCGGAGATGTACAAGTTTTTTTAAAAAAAAAACAATACCAGAACTTTCACGATGAAGCTGTGTGTCCCCTTGATAAATGAAGGGAAGCTGTATTCTCAAGACGAATTTGTTTTGACGCGATAACTCCGGTACCAGTCCGCAAAGGCGAGCGGACCGCCCTCAAAGCCAAGCGTTTTAGCGAAAAGCACGCAGAGAAATAAAGGACGAAATGTCCCTGTATGCCAGAAAGCAAGCCCACAGCGGCACGGCACGGCACGGCACGGCACAGCCCGGGTTATTGAAGTCCATGGCAATGAAAGCAGCTCACCTGTAGGAAAATCAGTGCAGGGACTTCTCGGAGACTTGTGAAGTTTCAAACTCGGGGCGACAGGCAGGAGCTGAAGTTGCACCTGCGCCGCACCGCCCCCGCAGCCTGCTTCCGATTGGCCGTGTGGCGCTCGGGCTGTCGAAGGGTGTCTGTGCCGGGGCTGGACGCAGTGAAAGCTGAGCGGAAAAAGGCAGTGCACGGAGTCGAATTGAGGAAGCTGAATCATTTTATAAGTAGTCAATTAATTTCCTTTACTGTTTTCCATGGAACTGTTCCTCGGTGTCGTCTTTTGTGTGCGTGTGTGTGTTGATGCCACGACTTCTTAAGATCGAAAATTCTTTCTCGCTGGCTTTAGAAGCGAGCATGACCTCATGTATTATTAATAGTAATGACTATGTTTGTTTTTTAAAAAGAAAAGTCTCTCCCTGTACCACCCTTGTTCACTTTGTGCGAATGCTTAAAATAGCTGTGGAATGACGACGACCTTGCAGAAATTGCACGTTCCTATGTCCCTATGTAACCTATTTTTGAATGTGGTTCTCATTAAAAAAAAACTATAGGTTCTATAAACACAAGTTATTAACCGATAGGCTCACTTTCAGGAAGTTATTTCCAGTTTTAGCACGGTTTTTATCAACGTCATTACCTGTCAAGTTAATAAATGTGGAGGACAGCTGGAGAACTTTATTATGTATTGGGGGGAGGTTAAAACATCCCATAGCCAATAGCTTCCGTGAACAGATCAAATACAGTATCATATTAACGTGTCGGAGGAGAATTCCAATACCAGTAATTACACCTTAGCGACAAAAAAGGCAAGGGGTTCTTACTGGAACTGTATCCTGAGGTGAAACTACCAATTTCCTATTCCTTTGCATCACCTTTGCCTGTGTCCACCTCAAAAGAACCAAACGGATTAGGAACACGAGCATCTTTACTCATCAAGTAAATACATATCTTTGCTAGGATACTTTAAAGCTGTGTAACTTCAGAGAATTCAAGGAATTTTGCCTTTTTAATGATACTATACAGAAGAGCTAAGAACGTATTTACTGCTGGCCTGTGCTCCATTGATTCAGGTGTTATCGTAAGGCAACTTTCAGAAGTATTTCTGCACAAGACACGTCCCCTTGTTAGTTGCAACAGGTGTGAAACACGGCCTCGTGCTTTAAAACTGTTTCCTGTGTAAAAATACGTTTAAAAAATAAAACTTAAGCAGCCCTTTTCAATTGTACATTTTATTAGTGCAAAATAATCTTTTTTTTTTTACAAATCGTTAGGATTTTTTTTCCAAATAGTCTTTACATACTGTATAACATTATTTTACAAACCTTAAAAGCTTCATAATGACAGATGCACAAAATCATAGTAACAAAACATGTAAACATTTTCAAATGAAGGACTCCCATAGGGAAGGTTAGACCAGAAATGGTACAAATTGGCTGAAAACGTTCTCAGCATGAATCTAACAAAATATGTTTTTTTAGATACACCCGGAACATTTGTTATCATTCTGTACAGATTAAGGACTGGATTAAATCAAAACTGTGACTCACCCCCAACACTCCCAAATTAAATTGCCTGTATTTGTTGGCATCTATTGTTCTTTCCAGAGTTTTTCATACCTCTACCTAATGGTAACTTGCAATTAACTCCCCCAATTTATCATTTGGAAGTGGTGAGTGGGTTTAATTCTTGATTCGATCTAGACCTTAACCTTAATAATACAGTTAAAGAAAAACAAACTCATAAAACAAAAAATAGAATTGTACAGCCATTTCATTATACCATAGTTTCGTCTTTGTGTTCTCCCTCCATATGACTTACGGAGAATGTCAGCTCAAAGCCTAGTCACACAAGGTCATATTTCATATTTCAGTCCCTTTTATCTGCGTACCAAAATGCAGGTGCATAAATACAGACTAGAATTTTTCCATTATTTTCTAATCTTGAGATGTACCATACTGTATCTCCTTCTAGGTACAGTAATTGCACGTTACAATGTGCATATGGAGATCAGCCAGCTACTGTTTTTAAGGAATTACTTTTTCCCACTGGGGATAATGGAAAAATTCCTTCACCTCCCTGAGAAAATAAAAAACTTCCTCCCACGGGAGGTCACTTCAGTCAAAGTGTTTCAAGAGAGTCTCTTAGGTTCGAGGTGCTGTATTGCAGTATATAATTCTGTGTATAATTCAGGTAGTAAGCAATGTCAGTGCATTATCAGATCCTTCCTGGCATACAGAGTCACAGCTAGCATTGTGTATTAACTGAGATTCAGGATATATGGATTATTAGGGATGAGGTGTAAATGTGCCCTTTGATTTTCACACTGCATAATGTGTGTTGGTTTTACAATAAGATTGAGAAAAAAATAAAATCTGTTTCTGTTGATTGTGGATATTAGTGCTGTAAGAATTAGAGTGCAATTGGTTCTAGCTGCAATGGGAAAACATGATTATTGTGGCAAGTTCTTGCAGTTTATGCATGATATCGGTTAGAGAACATTTCAGATTATTGCACATTTCATCAGATATTCACTAGCGGCACAGTACATGCAAACAACGAGGAGACAGACAAGATATTGCATGGCATATGGCAAAGTTCTTCACTGTCCATGAACACTGTAAAAATATAAAGAAATCACAATAATAATTAAAAATACCTCACAGAACCAAATGGTAGGATAAAGTGAGGAACTGTGTCAGAGTATGGGTAATTTCATGCTGGAAATAATTAAATACATCATGTTTTGGTTGTAGAACCTGCAGACGTCACTCTCTTTTTCCAGCATGTAATTATTGTGTAACTAATGTCTACTTGTTCATCAAATATGTGGACAAATGACAATATGTTTTAAATATGTGGACAAAATGGACAAATCCTGGTTACTATGAAAAGGATAGAGAAAGCATTATACAGTATGTGCTCATATCTGTTTTGATAGGACTGCAAAGCAATCGCCTATCTCTATGCTAACAGTAAATCTTGGCCATATTTTTTCATTAAATTAGTATGTACAGAAAAACATACACTTCTGCATAATTGCAAAGTGGAAGCGTTGCTTCTTTCGTGAAAATTTAAATAATCGTAATGAAAAATCATTAATAAAAGGATTTATTTCCTAGTTATCTGTCAAAAGCAGTCAGGTCAGCTAAACTGCTAGTTAGGTTCTTTTTAGCAATACAAAAAAAAAAATCAAAATATTAAGATATGAATTACCTCAATTTCTCTCTTCAGTTGAACTTTCACTGCACAAAAGCTCAACAGAAAAGGACTGTCATAGGCTCTTCATAGAGAGCATTGTATCTTACAGAGCCATACTCGAACTCGAGCATACTGTAGGACAGAAAAGCAAGTGAGCAGGTCCCGACGGGGAATAATGAGGAGGTGCCCGTGTCCTTTCCTCATGGACTGAACAATGCACGGTAGCCACCTGACCTACCCAGCATGCTCCCGAGCCACACTGAGACACCCCCACAGAGGGAATACCCTCTAATGTTTGTCAGAGCTCACCCAATCAGGTGGGCTCTTCTGAAAGGAGACGATAAAACCTCACCTGTAAGGACAAACATTTTGTGACGACAAAAAAACACTGTCGGAAAACCCTCTTAAAAAAGTCAACACCAACTTTCTGCAAAATTATTTTCCACCCTCATGAGCCATGAGGGCAGGGGTCACCGGCCTTGCACCTCCTAGACTACAGTGTATGAAAAACAGCAGTGACAAGCTATTGTTCCCAGCACCAGGAGACACGGACTTCAGTCCAGGTACAGAAGAGCTGCTTTACTCTTTTTCCCAGGATTCAGAAGCCTCCAGGCTACGGCTTTCCATGAAGCCAGCTGCTTTCCGGGCACGTCATCAGGAATGAGCGCCGCTGAAGGTGGAGATAGGGAGGCAGAGGAGTGAGCAGAACTCAGGACAAAGCGGCTGAGAGGACAGGGCCTTCCGGATCCTCCAGTGCATCCCACTTTCCGGCTTGTAGCAGACGGAAATCTCGCACCTGCAAGGCAAGAGGGAAAACCAGTCAGCATGCTGCTCCCTAACCCAAAACCTGCAAAACACGAGTCAGGTAACTGCAAAGCAATCAGACGCAGCAAGCACTCACAGTAGAACATAGCTTCATAATTCTAGTTCCATTTTTTTACCTACTTTGAAATGAGGTAAAAACAGAAAACGTTCAAGCAGTGTTTGGGGCAGCCATGTTAGTACTGTGGATCCTGCCATGCATTCTACTTCAGTACTGTGCTTAAAAAATGCTTATTGCTTTTAAGGCCAAAGTAGTTAAGGCCTGCTATACAAAGCATGTTTAATTTCCAAGGCATGATAACAGCGAACGAAGTCTGCTTCAGTTCATTTAACATGCAATAAATATGAATATGAAATGAATGACTGAAAATGAATAACCGGCCTTCAGCACCTGGTCACACTCTGAAAGATCTTCCTCTCATCCTGGTCCAAACACACAGCAAAGGTGGTGTTGCAAGCTCCTGACACCTGGACTTTGTCCACCTTCACCTGCGTGGTGTTGAGTTGCTGCAGAATTATTTGAAAAAACAAGGTTTAGGACATTCTGAAAAAAAGGTCACAAAAAATTCAAATCTGACCAGCGTAAATTAATTCTGAGTGAGCCAGCTTTGTACACCTTTCTCACTATGTGTCCTGTCTTGAAGCCAGTCAGTGAAATGCATTTGAACACTTTTTCAGGTTTCAGCTAACTACGGCTCGCAGTGCCTTCTTGATCTTACCACCAAAGGCATTTTCCCGGCTTCAGATGGAAACTGTTTTCAGTCTTGTTTCAATGAGTTCTGGAAGCCATCTTGAACCCAGGCTGGTTCCCTGCCTTCTGCTCACCTGATTGTAACCTTTTTTGGACTTGGAGTTTTGTCTCTTCAGAACTTCTGTCATGGTCAGCTGAAGGCACTCCATTTTTGAATCTAAACAAAATTGGACAGAGTGGATTACAACAGATCTGCCTGTTACTCTGCCCTGCCCCTGCTGGGATTCGATCACAGTCTCTTGCAGGCTCATGGTGTACATAGCGCCACCCCCTGGACAGCACTGAATTCCTCTGGGCCAAAACACCGGCTCTTCTTCTGCAGCAGAACTTTACACTAAGTTTCAAGGGCGTTACAGCCCTTCAGTAACACGCTCTGTGTAGTGAGCCCTGTTACAAATGTATGTATATTTTACATTCTGGCATCGTTTACATTCTACATGGGGAAGTTAGTTTCACCATTGGACGTGCTAAATGATTTAATTCACTAAAGTATGAAAAGAAAAATGATAATTCTTTAATCAAATTGTGACATTGAACTTTGACTTGACTGCAACACAACACTTCAAGTTTTAAAACTTCCAGATACACAACTGTGATACCTGCCTAACCAATATGACTTCTAGAGTGTATTTATTATTTGATGCTGTACTTGTCATATCATGAAGTATTACATCATTCCCTGCTGTTTGATAGAAAAGGTGCTGCATCCTCAAATTCAAGGTATCAGAGAAGAACCCTCAGCTCCATACCTAGCTCTTCCGGTTTCTTACAGGCTTTGGTGAGATTAACAGAGGTGCAGATTTTATTCACTTTACTCCACTGATTTCGCCCACTGACGCTCACCTAGAAGAGCAAAAAAAACAAACACGCTTGCAAGTTCCCACAGCAGAATGTACATCCTGCAGTTTGAGGAGATGTACAAAATTAAACACTGAAAAGAAAGGGGTTTTGTGTTGTGCACCAGGTTTGAATAATTAAAAAAAAAACAATTTTGGGACACTTCAGACCAATGTCATTCTTCAGCCGTGTAAAAAGGCGTGTAACTAGTGCCGTAAAGGTGGTGCTGTTCCTAAGTATTTTACAGATGTCATGATGATGTTACAGTGCATAAAGGCTCCGCAGACCCCAGTACTGCCGTTTTCTTTATTGGCAGGAGGGAATTGGTCCATGTTTGTGCGTATGATAAGTGCTCTAAATTAAATTCCATTATCTACCTTATTGTAAACGATTTCTAGTGTTAACGGCACTGCTTCCCGGTCCCCGTCAATCCCAAATCTTTTGCAGACTGGCCCTGCAAAAGGAAATGCGGCACGTTTCAGAAGGGGCAGGCAAAGACAACAAGGCTGTGTGCGGACAGGTGCGCTCCTGCTTGTCTTGGACCGCTGCTATTGTACTCAAATCATGCATTATAATTATTTATTTGATTACATGAAATAATTTATCATCACAAGACAATAAGATATGAGAAAGGAACTCAGACAAAAGCAATCAAACAAATGAATTTCAGCATTTTTTTGGTTTAGCAAATTATTTTTAGGTATATACCTGATCCAAGTATTTTGGGAAATTGCCAGTCACGTGTTCCTTGTTTCTCACGGTTCGACACGTGACTTGACGCTGACTCCGTTTTTTTAGCTCAACATTCAACACAGTAAGAGCAACCTGAGATTCATTTTTAAAGGAATTTGTCACCGCGTTTTCCTTTCCGGAAGAATGCAGAAACTGAACAGCTGAGCCGCTAAACGCAACACTTTGAGCGATGCGGAAAATGTTAAGGAATTTCTGCAAGTGTTCTGTCTCTCCACGGTCCTGTCGCGCTTAAAGTTTAAAGTGCTTCAAGCTTTAAGTGCTTAAAGCGTTGTTAACGCCTTTCATTCCCTGTCTCCTTCTCAGTTGCAGAAAGGAGAAACGCGCCCTATACCGATGTTTAAACACGTTTGTTTTAAGCTTGCAGTTTGATTTTAAGAAGTGTTAGAATAAGTTAAAATTTGTTTACCTTTGTTGGCGACATTAAATGGGAACTACAGTACCAATTTCTCAGAACGGATATTAAATCTCGGTAACAAAACTAATGAATGGCATCACAAAATTTGCCAAATCCCGAATTAAGCACAAAATCGTGAATTTCGCAGAAGTACTGGATAGTCGCAAACCCCTGATCTCGCCAGGGGCGAGGACTGTTGAGGTAAAGTCGGCCTTTCCTGCTCACTAGTCACAGTAATGACTCGTGTAATTTGATGTGCGAGCGAGTGAGTACAGGCTGTACAAACAGACATTTCACCGCAGGAAGTTTCCAACGTGATCTGCATACAGAGTTAACAAAGAGGCAAAACTGCCTCTGAATCGAGAGCAATATCTTCTTGTTTACAATGTAATAGGGCCGCTTCACCTCTCCGGAAGTTTTGTTGCCTCGGTCTCAATCGCAGACAAGGACAGCAAAATGGCAACGTGCATACCTGGAAATTTGGTCTATTTTGTGGCGGAAATTGGAGGTTTTACAAGTTACTGTGTACATTTTACTTTTACTATTGTTGGACAACGCACTCATCAATGCCGATTCTTTCTAACCCTCGAAATATAAAAATAGTGATGCAGTTCCCCTATTAAAGGTTGTTGCTAATGTAAAGAATACGCCCCTGCGTACAACGGGGATCGCAGCCGCCGGGCTGAGGGAGGTCTCCTTTAGCTCAGCCGGCAGTGAGGGCAAGGGCGGAAACCCGCAGAGCCGTTACACTAATTAACAGATGTTCGTCAAAAAGCAGGCTGAGGGCGCGATGGCTCCCCCTACTGCCCGTACTCACCAGAGGCCTTGACTGCACGAGTCCCAGCGGTGTGGCCCAGCTCCAGGGAGTGGATGAACACCTCCGTTCGCTTCATCCCGCCTGCCAGCATCAGCTACCACGGCACAGAGCAGGCAATCAGCCGACCGGGTTAGAGCACACGGAAACACGTCTATCGATCGTGCAAATCACATGACCGGAAATGCTAGGCATCAATGCCGGCACTACTAGTCTGAAGCCAGCAGCCTTATCACCCTGCAACTCACAACTGGCAGCCCACTGAAGCCCAGCAGATGTGAGCCTGGTCAGTCCCTGGACAGGAGACCTCCTGGGAAAGCTAAGGTTGCTGCTGGAAGAGGTGTTAGAGGGGCCAGCAGGGGGCGCTCATTCTGCAGCTTATGTGGGTCCTAATGCCCCAGTATAGTGATGGGGACACTATATTGTAAAAAGGCGCCGTCCTTCGGATGAGACATAAAACCGAGGTCCTGACTCTCTGTGGTCATTAAAAATTTCAGGGCGTTTCTCAAAAAGAGTAGGGGCATTACCCTGGCATCCTGGCCAAATTTCCCCCTGGCCTTTGCCAATCATGGCCTCCTAATAATCCCCATCTCTGAACTGGTTTCATTACTCTGCTCTCCTCCCCACTGAGAGCTGGTGCGTGGGGAGCGTACTGGTGCACTATGGCTGCCGTCACATCATCCAGGTGGGGCTGCACACTGGTGGTGGAGGGGAGTCCCCATTACCTGTAAAGCCCTTTTGAGTGGAGTGTCCAGGAAAGTGTTATAGAAGTTTAAGAAAGAATAAGGAAGGGTCTGGACAAGCCTGCCGGGCTCAGAGCGCGATGGGGCAGGTGGAGGGTCAGACTGCCGGCCTCACCTCAGCCTGGTAGAGCTGGACCAGCACTGGACGAGCTGCGTGCCTGCAGTAGTACAGAACCATGTCCGCCAGGATGGGCAGCCGCTCCCTGGTGCTGCTGGACACGTCAGGCTCGGTTTTGGAAGTTTGCTGAAAAACGCACAGAACCCTTACATCTGAGCCATACGAAAACAACTGTTAAAGATGTGGCACAGCATAAGCATATCTTTTTTGAATGGATATTACTCAGACTAAACTTGTAGATTAAATGTAGAATTTTCAGTTTTAATACAACACAAGAAATGAAAGCTATAGCTTTTGTACCCATATGACTTAAAATATTCAAGCACGCACACACTTAACTTATAGATGTACACACTCATACTGTAGATACAGGCGGAAAATCATCTTATGGTCTACATTTTGCCTTAACTTTTATATTTGATATTTTGTAATTCTCCGTTTTAAAATTCAGATAGGATCTTTGATCCTATGTACGTTACAGCTCTCGTATTTATATTTAATTGTTAATCGTCTATAGTTATCTGTTATTTTCTGCAGTAAGAGTAAAATCAGGACCCAAAGCTGGCTGGTCAGAGCTGCTCAGTTCCCTGTGTCTGTTGAAGACAGCGCCCTCACCTGGCAGAGCACCTCCACGGGCAGGTTCAGGAGGCTCAGCATGTTGCGCTTATACCAGGGATCCAGCATGCCAAGGTATTGCGCAATGTCGTTGGTGCTGTCCTCCAGGCAGGGCAGACTCGGGTCCTGTGCCAAGAGACAAGATTTCTGGTTTAGTTTGGCATGCTGTATTCTTATAACACATATCATATCACAAAGGCAAAAAACCTGGGGGGAAAATAAGTAAAATATGTTTATTTTACTGTAATATGAAAATTTAACCCATACTTTACTGTAATAATAAAATTTAACCTGTATTTAGAATGTATATTTGTTTTATAAAGCTTTTTTTATTGCGGGACCTTTTCATCTCTGTACGCCTGGGTTCACATAAGAATGCTGCTCAGTGAATCACAGCAATTTACTACCACAGAAAATCAATAACAACATTTCTCCTGCTTCCATCCTAATGTCAGTGCCTTTTCTCTTCATTCATCTTGGCATGCAGCACAGCTGCAGTGAAAGGGGACTCCCTGCTGGGTATTTACCACGGCCATGCTGCCCCTCCCAGGGCTGTCTGACAGACTGCCAGGGCTGGACACTCCCACTGCAGGGCTGCTGGAGTTCCTCTTCACTGGGATGAAAAAGAACTGGAGCTTAAAGAGCCTGGTTAGGCGAGGGCACCTGCTTTCCTGAAGTCTAGAGGGGAAAAAAATACATGCACATTTATAAAGACAACCATAGATACACACACAAGCATATCAGGCAGATAATGAGTTGTGCATATGAATATTAATCAATTCTCATCCAAAACATAGTCTTCTTTAAACACTGCCACTATATGCCCTTACACACATCATAACTTGATAGGGCACTCTTTCCAAAAGGTCTAATTCTTTTTGTCTGATCAGAGTTGGCTATATCAAGGGGAAGAGTCCTAAATAAGGCAAAACAACAGTGTCTGGCTGCTAACTTTACATATGTGATGCTGACGTATCAGTGTGACCAGACACTTCAGCAGAATTTATTAATATTTCATAATATCATGAACACAGCCTTGAAAAATGAGAAAAATCTGAACCAAGTTAGTTAAAAGGATTATTCAGATTTTACCTGAGATTACTGTAGGCTCTCGCCACTTTTCCGGTAATCTGATCTGCACCAAAAACCACCACCCTTAGGGTTGTGGTTTTGGTGTCCTCGTCGCAGCTCAGGATAGGTCTCCTCCTGTAGCAGACATTCCTGAGAAACATATTCTCTGGGCTCTGCAGGTGAACCTGCTGGGGCAGAGAGTTCGACCTCTTGGATCTGATCGTTACATAGTCTTTGGCCTCTGTGTTTCCCAAGCTTTTTGCCCGGTTTAGCGAGTTGCTGCTCTTGGACTTGAATAGCATGGAGATGCGTTTGCCCAGCCTGGCTCTGGCTTTGGGAGTTTTGTCTGTGCTGCTCTCCTCCTCGGTGTCCTCACAGAAGTCGCTGTCCATCCCCGAGGCCACCGACAGCCGGCTGGGCCCCGACGAGGAGGAGGAGATGGAGGAGAAGGAGTTATTGGAGAGCATGGAGTCCTTGGAGGCAGTGGAGAGGATGGAGACGGTGGAGAAGGTGGAGGCTCTGTGATCCACACAGCCGTTCACTGCCACTTCCTCTTCCTCCACGTCCTCCTCTTCCTCCTCGTCGTCCTCCCCCTCATCTGGCTGGGGCTGAGCTTCAGCCAGGTCACACTCGGCCTGGAAGATCTCGTTCAAAATGTCTGAGAATACAGACGATGACAAAAGTAAGTGTAAAAACACCTGCAGCAGGCTGAAAGCTGTACAGTTAGCTAGTTTTTGTACCTGTTCCACAATAAACTGTGCTTCACAATCAGAATTCTAAAGTAGACATCTTTAACACTTTTCCAAGAGTATCCCAATCCAGAACCTTGCCAATACAGTAGTTTACCCTAAATAATCTATTTTTAAAGATTAGAAACACTAGGAAGTTAATGATCCATTAAGCAAGTGATTTGCTTGATTACTAAAACAACTTATGCCAAATTACCTCTAAATGACATAACCTACAGTAATAAGCCCCATCTTAAGAGAATGCAATTAAATAGCTCTGTTAGTTTTCTATAAAACCTGTTGGATTGCTGCTATGTCAGGGTCTGCAAAGCAATTATCTAAGATAATTTAGACATGTCTTTCTGGAGAATGGTCAGATTGCTGTATACAAATGTTTGACAGAACTTATTTAAACACAGACCCAGTGCTATACAGGCTCATTGGTACAGAAAATTGTATTATAGGTGAGCTAGTGTTTTTAGGAATCTGAAAAGAAAATCCAATTTTGGCATTGCAAGAGCCTCAGACAACCTGCATCAAAAAAGGGGTTAAACTTTGATCAATGATCAGTTTTCAGCGCATTGCAAATACCCACACAATCTAACTCCATTACTACCACTGTTCAGTAAGGGTCACTGTGGACATGGTGCTTCTTCCAAGCTTGACGTTTAGTTACAAGGAATGGATCATACACTAAAAGATGAGGAACTAACAATGTGTTTTATTTAGATCACAGTTAGCCTGTTGTTTTGACACCAAACCCAGTTTGTAATTACTTCTTTATGTGTATAATTCAACAGAAAGAGGACTAGTAAAAATAAAAAGTTAAAAGCAGTACAGTGCCGTATTGAAGTAAGACAGTGAAGCTGATACAGCTATACCCCTATTCAACAGTTTGGTCTAACCAATGTGACAAGATGGCAGAATTTGTAGGGATGTTCAATATTTGAATGTTCGGCACTAACTGGCCAGGCTGAGGAAACCACAGCCCCGGCCCTCACTTGTAAGGAATGAACGAGGGAGCTGCTGAGAGAGTGAAGACAGGTGGAGGGAGGTTGTGAGGGAAGATTCCCACAACATGGGGCTCAGGAGGTGAGATATTTAAGCATGGGAAAGAGGAGGTGCATGATAATAACGACAGAAACTTCTGTTTAAAAGCTCTGCAGGAGAAAGTGATAGATCCTCTTACCGAAATTGTCCTTATCCCAGTGGTACGTGTGACACCTGGCAATGGGCAGTGACAGAGTCTGCAGCATGCCTGTCGCAGTGAGGAGGAAACACAATTTTAATTCAGTTCCTGAAAACCTCACACTGGCTGTAATTCACATGTAAGAGTGCTCATGAAAACACACCCTCAAGGAGGCCTCACCTTCTGATTTCTTACTGTTTGGCGCCGGAAGTCCAATTTTCTCCCTAAGCCTTTCCAGATCCTCAAGTAAATGCTCCCTGGCCTTGTCAATGTCCTCCACAGAAACAGCTGTTTCCAAAATGTCTGTGATGTCTGAAAAGATGGAACTGAGTTCTTCTACCTTTTTCGACTGGAGGAGATAAAAAAATCAGTTCAACAAATTAAGTACTTTTCATAAGAGACTTCCTAACTTCCTGTAGATTTTATGGCAATTTAATCGTCTTAAAATGAATTCTGACACTGTGGAAATCTTATGAAATAACAAGGAATCTATATGTACACATTTCACAAATGTGTAACTATTTCACAAATACTAGAAGTATTTACTTTGAGCTCATTTGGACTTCACTTAATATTTCAAAGGCTGAAGAGTGGCCTGAAAACGGTATCTTAAAACTTTAGTCACAACTCACAGACTTTTTAAAACATCATGACTTCCTTGATATCCAGAAAATTGAAACAATCAATTTCACTATTTCCACAGCAGGTGGCAACATTTTTCATTTCTTAGGCGCTCGTTAAACAGGTGTTGAGAAACTATAGGGAAATTGTTCATATTAATTCACAAAAATAAGTTCCAATCAAATTAGTACAGCTACCCAATGTATCTCCACACAATACTCTCTCCATTATCCTTGGTTTTGGACAAAAGGCTCCACCTATTGACAGTCTTGCAAACATGGCAAAGAAAACAAATCTATAAATTTGCCACGTTTATGCCTGGGCCAGATGTGTAGCTCATTAAGAAAACTGGTCTAATACAGCCAGGTTACACCAAGAAGGCTAGAACTCACAGTCAGGGACAGCACATGGTAATACACGTTTAACTATTATTTTTTTCAAAGGACAAGATGTTGCAAAGAATGTGGTTATTCTGAAACAAGGAAGGAAACTGTGGCTTTCACGGTTTCTTCCTATATGGACACATGATATAGAGTTGTTACTGTTGTCCTGCAACCGTTGCTAAAATACTATAAATAAATAAACCCTGCAGTATTTTATCATGATTTCCACATCCACCAATTTATTCAGATGTATTTGTTGGTGGTTCATTCAAAGCACCACACATTGTACATACTGTAGCTTTACTTAAAATCTTCAAATATAAATACCTGTCACTTAAAGAGTGTAGTTTTTAAAGCAAGATGGTCAGTTAAATATTGGTGCAAAGTATCAGGTCATTCCCAGTGTGCCTGTTTACGTTTCTCTGAAGATTTCTCCAGTATGGATGAAGTAAGAGCATTTCACTTCTGCCCATTGTTTTTAAAGTCCCGAGTTTGGTTGTAGTACAAAACAAGTTCTTAAAAATAACAAATGACCCCCTGTCTTTTTTTAAATCTCAGGAGAGATTGAGCTATTCTGAGACACAATAACTCTCTGTCTCCCTGTGCCATTAAATGAGATGTGCTGGACTGTACAAATCTACTGCTGAACTCAAGTGTTAAATATATCCAACAAGCAAATGGCACATGTATGGATCTGGGCAAGTTTACCTCCAGCACTTTCTGCATGCAGTCCAGGGGGTACCGAGCACCAAAAGCAGACTGATAGGCGTGTTTGATGAGGATGATGTAGGCGTCTTTCTGTGAGTGCCTGACATTGCTGAGCTGCTCTGATACCGCCAGGAACTCCGGAGGGATATCAGAGGGATTCATCAGCAGCACCGTTCTGGCAAAAAACACGCAAATTGAGAAAAGACACCCTGGACACACAGTTGGGAATAAGTCTGGAAAACCTAAGTATCATCCAGGAAAGCCTTGGAAACATTTGCATTTGAGTTCCTGTCTGTGTTCTTTCACCTTTTATTCCTCAGCTGCCTGAATTTTATGTACTTTTCTGCCATGAGCACTGCCACAGGTCCTGTGGTTTTGTATTCAAGACACCTAGACCAAAAAGTATCTGCAACGTTAAGTAATTTTGAACAGTAGAAGAGATATAAAAGCTGTTAACTACACCCTGAAAGCTTGGAAATTGCTAAAGAGTTACCGCCAACACAGAAGGCTCTGAAAATATCTCCTGGGGTTCAGGAACTAGCACTGCAAATACACAAGTGTGACAGCTAAATCTGTAGCGAGCAGGTAGCAGTGAGAAGAGGCATGCATGTAAATAGCACAAGAGACCGAGAAGAGAAACGTGTGCAGGCCCCCCTCCTTCTTCCTCTTTGTGTGAAGTTCAGCGGAAGTAGGCTACAAGGCTGAGTGCACAAAAACACTAAGCAGAAGACGTTAAAAACGACGTTAAGAGAACCCAAAAAAGGCCAATCAGAGCAAAAATAAAGTACGTAACATGTTTCACATTGCGGCAAGTCACTTAGTTCAATGGGCAGTTATCTTGTGTCTAGAAGGGTACAATCATCATTAGAGTTTTAATATCTTTGACAAGGCATTTCATTCTGGCGCCTAACATATGAGAGTACGTCGAGTGTACACCTTTCTCCCAGTCCTAAATCTGTACGGTAAAATCCAGAATCCGGTGTTATCCTGTCATTTAAAGTTTAGGTGTGAGTGGGGAATTAGGATCTGGAACTGAAAGCATGAGACAGGGGTAGCCAGGCCCTGGTCCAGAAGTGCCACCCTTCAGCAGGTCTCAGATGTCACCCTTATGTGTTCAGGCTGGAACACATGTGAGTTTTGATCAATTTAATAAGTTCCTTGGTTCAGTTAAGTCAAGAATAGCCTGTTGTGATCCTTGGAATCTGCATTTTCATGTCAGGTGATTCCTAAACAGCTTAATTGAACACATTACCCACTTCAGCGGGACAAAACTAAATTATTTTGTTTTTGAAACTTCACAATTTAAGGGCAAAACTGTTGCTGCATTGTTCCTCCCCCAGACCATTGGATGACCACCCTGGTGTAAGACTCGTACTTGTGTTTAAAGTGACTCATAGTTATACACTAGGGCCTTTCGTTGTTGCAGTCAGGATGATGTGTCTTATTCAAGAGAACAACAGATGTGCCAAAACTCAAAACTCCAAAAGAGATCAACTCCCAGAATCACTCATCCACTATCCAGCAAGAGTAGAGTAGATTTATCAGATAAGAACAGAATAAGGTCATGATGAGCACTCTGTAAACACTGTAAATTTCTTTGTTTTTCTTTTTACAATGAAACTTTGCAAACCAGCTTTGTGTTGAACGATCTATACCCCGGGACCTTGCTGAATTATTCCCTTGCAAATTAATAGATTAGCTGGAGAGAGGCTGTCCCAAACCCATTTTAACACAGACTTTCCTTCTGTGTCTACTTACATGGTCTTGGATTGCTGATTGTCAGTGGCTAATCCTTGCTCTTCTCTTACAAGCCTGTGATAGGAAATCCCTGTGGAAATAAAAAAATAAATTAAACCTGTAACACTGATCGGAGAGGGGTTAGTAAAGGGTGTAAAGATTCCAGTGAACTAGGAGGCCAAACACTGTCTGTTCATTTCTTTTGCTGTTGCTTGAAGGCACAAACTGATTTGTGTCGAATCTCATTGACTCAGGGGAGATCTGATTCTGATCTATCTTCAAGTGATTCTTGCTCGAACACAGCTCTACTTGAACAGATGTTCGGCCTTGACTTGAGGGCAGATCGTGCCTCAGAGGCAGCCTGGTGTGATGGCACTGATTTCATCTCACCCGTCTCTCAATGCTCTTTTTATTGAGCTTTTACAAGCTCACTTGTGTCAAATATAATTTCAACATGAAAACAGGGATGCAAACCAGCAATCAAAAAAGAGGAACTCCTAGCTTTAAAAAAAAAAATTACATCGGAAGGTAAATGAGATATCTTTTACTTCCACTTTGTTTCTAGCTTATTCATAAAAACCACATCCATCTGACAGCCAACCTCTCTAATGAATGAAACTATGACCGAAAAGGCCCAGTTCTCCAATCTGAATAAAGAGAGCAATGTTTGTTTGCTTTGTACATGTTAACTCTCTACTACGAAAACTCAATCCCTTTACAGACCTGCATAACTGTAAAAGTGACATATTATAGATGTTCCTCAAGTCTGATATCATGTTTTGGAGGCAGCACTGTTGGATAAAATAACATCATTGGCCTTTTTAATTAAAATATGATACATTTTAATCAATGTTTACAAATGTTTGATTTTGGTAGCTAAATTAAGATAATTGTTTGCCAAGGAGCATTGATCAGAGCCTGCAACACAGGCAAACAGCTAATAACTGAAGATTTACCAAGAACTGTTGTGATTCTTTTTTGTCATTAGGTGGTGGTATAGTGCCCTGTAGAATTTTTTTATTCTTATTTTTAAATGGACCATTGATGGCCAATAGAAATACATTTTTAGAAAGGGCAGCATTGGAAAAGCAGTTGTTAAAATCGCTCATATATTATATTGGATGTGCCCCTGTATGTGCCTGTGACTGAGGCAATGTTGTTCTGTCTTGCCAGGGGACCTTCTGGCCATGAAGTGCTTCCCTTTGGAGTGCAGGACCAGGGGTCTGATCCTCCATGGCGACCTGCCTGCCCCTGAGCTTTCATTCAGTGTGACAGTCAAGCAGCCGGAAGACTCACAAGCACCTGTAAATAGCTGTGTTGCCCTCAGTCCCCTGTTCCTGCAAGTGCCTGGGAATGCAGAGAGGAGCTGTCCTACTCATGGACCCAGAAGTGGGTTAGGCAGAGATCACACAGCACCCAGGCCAGAGGTAACGCAAGTGCAAGGACCCCTACTGAGCTCATAGAGGTCAAACAAACGGGGGTCTCTCCAGTGTGCAGGAAACTGGAGGCAGACCCCATGGGGGAGACAAACAGGGGCAGGCCACCCACATTTCCGCAAAACTCTCTCATCTGTTTAAAGCGCGCCCTACAGACAGACTAGCAGGTGGCTCGGAGAGTACCTGGGGCCTTCAGCTCCTGGTGGATGAATGTGAGGAGGTCTCGGCACACGCTGCAGTACGGCTCGGGCCAGGTCAGGAAGCTGTGGTACACCTCGCAGGCCTCCCTCAGCAGGTCGCAGTGCGGGGGGAAGTAAGGAGTCTGGGAAGACGAGGAGCACAGTCAGTGTTTCGCAGGGCAACAGCGTTCGAGTGGCTGGGGGAGCACAGCCCTGAGGTACAGAACAGCATCTGATTCAGGTACTGTCAGACACCCTGCCTTCTTTCAAGAAATGGTTGGTAGGTGAAGAGGTAGTGAAAAAGATCAACTTGGTTTCCAGAAATGTTACTGAAAACAAGGGTAGTGCAACAACATACTTCCCCCATGTCAGGTCCAACCCACTTCCCATCCAGAAAGGGAGTTTTACACAGCAGAACTGTGATTAACGAGGCCTTAATAAGTAAATAAGTTCATTCTTGGTGAGGTTTGTCTGAAAGAAGCAAAACTCTGCTGTCATCAGACACTCGCAAAGGCAGTGTCCATGGTCTTGCCCGAGAGGGTATGTGCGACCCTGTGAGGCATGTGGAAGCAGACTGAATGCCCTCACCTGTAAGGCTGTGGAGAAAAACATCAGAGCCAACGGGGCAACCAGGATGTACTCGCATTGCTCCTGCACCTGGAAAGACACGGGAGCAGGGGGTCATCAGCGTTTCACGAGGTGCAGCACAGCTGCCATGACTTTAAAGTTTACCTTAAAGAAAAGGGTTAACACTGAGAGTTTACGCAAGCTTTTAAACTAATAAAAGCTTCAGAAGCTGTGCTGTCTGAAAGGGCCCACTCCACTCAAAGCGCTTTAAGAGTAGTGGTGACTCCTCTCCATCACAACCAATGTGCAATAGCCAGAGTGCACCAGTACTCTCACCACACACCAGGACTCAGTGGGGAGGAGAGAAGAGTGATGAAGCCAGTTCAGAGATGGGGATTATTAGGAAGCCATGACTGGTAAAGGCCAGGGGGAAATTTGGCCAAGACCCTGGGGTAACACCCCTACTCTTTTCGTAAAACGCCCTGGGATTTTTAATGAGAGTCAGGACCTCATAAACTCTTTAATGAGAGTTTTATGCCTCATCTGTAGGACGGTTCCTTTTTACAGTATAGTGTCCCCACCACAATACTGGGAAATTAGGACCCACACAGACTGCAGTGTGAGCGCCCCCTACTGGCCCCACTAAAACCTCTCCCAGTAGCAACCTTTTCCCAGGAGGTCTCCAATCTGGGTACTGGCCAGGCTGCCTATTGTGAGCTGCCAATTGTGGCTGCCAGTGGGCTGCCAATTGTGAGCTGCAGGGTGATATGTCTGCTGGCGTTTCTTTAAGGCTAGGAAATACACCAAAAGAGCTGCAATAGTGACCTACTGTGAAAACCGTGTCAGAGAAACTGGGGGTGGGGGACAGCTCCAGACCCGGCCATGGCCAGGCAGTAGTGAACAGCGTGCTGGGGAAGGGGCTGTGTGCTTGTGTGGCTCTCACCTCTCTGGTTTTCTTCAGTATCTGCTGAAGGAGGATGAGGAAGTTCTCGGGGTCTCGATTCACCAGCTCCTCCAGGCTCCAGCGATTCATGCACAGCCCGGCTGGACAGGCCAAAGAGAAAGCATGTGAGACAGAGCATCTGGATACACACATTCTCAAACACACATCTGTCCGTGCGCGAGACATTCGGCACACCTCGCCTGTCTGTTCGTCAGTAGCTAATTGATCTGAGCTCCTCATCCAGCTTGTTCTTGAAATAAGGCAGGTTTTTTATTTAAACATTTAGACAAGAATTCAAGACCAAGTTCTGTAAAGCTGAGCAGGCGATGAATATTATGAAATGCTCGCTGGCATTTGCAGTTGGCAGTGCTGGTATTCTATGGCCCCTTGATAAAACTCTGGACCTGCTAGTTTCTTTGCTCCTGATACAAAGAAATGGACAGGTTAACAGAGCATGTCATATCCTGAGCATGGTTTTGTAGACTCTGAAACCCTATATGTTTTTAGAATTATATTAATTTTCAGTGCTAAGCAATAAACTATAAATAAACATGAAAAAAGCCTTCAACTATCAGCGTTTGCATTTTGTCTTAGAATGCTATCGTCTACTCTTAAAACTTTTAACATTTCACAGCTGAACAGTTGAGCTGTAATGTATATCATTCCAAGCCTTCTATCAGAAGACTGTAGAAGCCAATTCAAATCTAACAGAAGACAAGCATGATCACAAGCATGAACTCCATCTTGAATACGTACATCAGATTCTTACAAGATAAAATGCATGAGACTTTAAAACCAAGAACTGAAAAAAACACTTACTTGTAAACAACCACTGCAGGCTTGTTTCGCTGCAATGCATAACTATTGCAGTAATAATCTTTTGTTTTCAAGTTAGAAAAGAAAATGATAATATTTCGAAAACACACCTAGTGTGTAAAAACCTGTTTATAACACATACCTTTGCAATTTACTCAATAACAATCTGTTGCTTCCCTTCTCTGCTTAATCTCTCTGCATCTCCTCTCCCAGCAGTCTCAAAGTGCCTTCCTGTTGTTTTAAAAAAGTGTCTTTCATCTTCACAAATTTATTTTTTTACTTTTCGTTTTGCAAAGGTGACAACAACATCAGCCTCATGCTTTAGGAACGTGTAGAGTTCTGTGTAACAACATTTCTGTTTCTAGCAGAACGAAATGTGGAGTATGACCATAGCAGACTGCCACAGAGTATAATGAATATAAAGATGTATATATATATAACAGAATTTGAACATGCATTTTATATATGCATTATGTAATGAGATATAAAGATGCATTTTAAATATAAAAAGGTTTGATCTTTTCTTGACAGTTCAGTCGTAATCTTAAAGAAGAGTAAAACAGCTCAATGTGCTGAAAGCTGCAGTCTGATGATTATATGATGTTGCTGTTTTTCCAAACTGCAAAATAATAATATTAGCTAATCATTAACACCATCTGTACTTACATCTGGGGCTCCCCTTACAAGAATAAGTGACATTTGGCTAATATCTTTTGAAAACAGGGGGCAGTAGTACAGTAGCTCCCAGTTCAAGCATATTATAAAAAAGAAAAAAATGTCTTTTAAACTGTGTATGCAATTCATTAAATATTTTTTACCAAACTTTTAATTTACTGGTAATCTGAGAATTATCTGAGAACCACTTCCGACCAATGAAAGTGCATGCGTGCATTTCACACATGTATTTATGACGACTGTTCGTATGGGTGGAGAAGGTGCAGAGAGATGGAGGTGCAGAGAGCTGGATGATGGTAATATCCGTGCCATGCCTTGGACATGTTTACACCAGCACACAAGGCAGGCTTTCTTCTTGCTGCTGCTTTACTGGAAGGCCATGCAAATGCATGAAAAATCCCCCGGTTTGTTAAAGGTGCATTGTCAAGGACATGGGCGTATCAACAAGTATTCCTGCTGCTTCAGGCTGAATTATTCTGCCCAGGGCTGCAGCCAGGAATTATATCGCCTGGGAAAGATGCTATGAGTGAAGTCCCCTTACCAATCTAGCTAGTGCACAATCTGCCTTCAAAAGCTTGAAATTTATGACAGGATTTAGATCATATAGAATCAAACTGAGGTTTACAGTAAGGGAATATTTCTAGGACTTGTAAGGATGTTTGATCAATAGAATAATAATATACAGCATGCTCACCCTTGACTATACCCATTGCAGGGTTTTGATGTCCCAGTTCTTTCGATTTCCTTGTCTTATTTCTACACATACATTTCTCTAGACATGCAGAGCAATGTGACAATTTAGTCTTTAGCAATGAAAACCTTTTACCGGTGTAATCATTCTTCAGAACTTGTTTAATACTTTTATCACTCCAAACTGGGAACACTCAACTGCACATTTCGCAATCTGTTTTTCTTTGCCTATTTTTATTGTTGCTGTAATCCACTGGCTATGTTTTTGTCATCTCTACAGGGTAAGTTGCAAAATAGATTTAGTTTAGTTTCGCTTGTGTGGCTGTTTTTGGAACATTTGTCCGACTTCTCCTTGGCAGTGTAATATAAAAGCTCATTAAGAGTGATGTTTTGTAGAACAAAGTAGGCTGTAATGTTTGGGAAGGCCTGTGTTGATGACTGAGCTTAATTCACATCCATTCCTAATTAACCCTTTGACATTTCTCTAGAGATCAATACCCTGTACAGTGTTCAGTTTGTGTGTGGGGCGCAGCCCCCATTGAAACCCACCTTCTCTCTAAGCTATATACCTACAGCTCTTCGGCTTCTTTGTGGCTTCTGGAACAACTTCCTTTCAGCCAATCTGTTAAATTTCATCATTTTGTTCAGCTCATTAAAAACAATCAATGGGTTCATTTAACAACCACTTTGAAGTGCAATATAACACTGGCATAGTCTGTTTATGTCATATGTCATCTGAGAATATTCTGTTCTGTCAAGTCCTGCTTCTCGTCACTAGAGATCCTGCAGAATGGGTGATGCACTTACCGCTCCAAGTGTCCGCAGAGGAGGACTGGCTGAGTCTGTGAAGGCATCTCTCTAAGGCATGATGGATGCGGTCCTCTGTGCACGAGGTATGCTGCATCTTAATTCATCGCCTAGGAAAGACATCATTTACGCTGGCATTTAGAAACGTTTCGCTTTAAAACCATTTGATGCTGTTCTGAGAAGAACAGCTGTGGGGAATTACAGGGAATTCACAAAGGCTGTTTGTACTTGTTATTGGCACCGCAGTGGCACTGCATTGGCACGTTGTTGTTTTTGGCATTGCATTCTCCCCCTTTAGGAGAAAAACAAAACAAAAACCCAAAGCAGAAGCCTGCAATAACTAAATTAATAGCCAAAAAACAAACAGAATAGCTCAAAGGCAGCAAACCTCCACAACTGCTTCATTGTGAAACTGTAACTCTTCTATGGGTGTTCACTACTTTTTTAAAGGAATTTATTATGCAGCTTTAGAGCAGAGTAGCTTCTCTGTCTCCCATGGGTAGGCCTTACTGGATCATCAGTGTTTATACCATTCGTACTGCAGGACGGCCAGGGTCCATCAGCTGGCTCAGCCAGTCAGGTTAAGCAGGTTAAGCACCAGTACAGCTCGAACCTGAGAAATGTCATCATGTCGCTAGCTGACCATGACTGAGTTTCCCCAAGTGGTACCGCTCCACCAGCGTTGGGTTGGAGATTAGCTGACATGAGTCTTCTTGGTTTTTTTGGAAAAGAGATTCTGTTGCTTTTAGTTTGTCATCATTGGAAAAGTGCCATTAGGAATGCACACCAAACCCAGTGATTCTTCTTGGGAAGGAAAGTAATGATATATTTGCAAGGAGTTAAAGGTGGTGGTATAAGTAAGTAAAATATTGATTTAATCTAAGTCAAAATGATCAGAGGACATTTCATTATTATCTACTAAGGTGCTTTTTTGGTGCTTGTCAGTGTCAAAACAAACTTTTATGAAATCTAGTGTTACCACCTACTTCTCCAGTTTTACTGATGACCTAAGTATATTGTGTCATTTGTCTGAAAATTACCATTGACAGCATTTACAGATGTGATCACAAGCACATGAGCTGTAAAGTCCGATGGCCATTTTAGGCAACTCTGGTCTTATGTCAGGTTTCGCTGTCTCCTCATGGCTTCCTGCTTTCATCGTAGTCCAGAACCAGCACAGTGTGTCAACACTACAGTACTGAGCTTGGAAAACGGAAAACACTGCGCAATGAATGCCTCATGATCATTCTGAAATTCTGGAAAAAAATGCAAACATGGCATTTTCCAGCTATATTGTGAAGGACGGGCTCAATTTATTTTCTCTCTGACATTACTCAGGTAAGTGAAGGTTAACCATTAAAAACAAAGGTCAAAACTGAGCCCTTAAAATCCTTCAGACAACAAAAAGAGTGGTGTTTTTTAAATTGTCTGCTGCAACTCAATAACTTCACTTTTCTGGATGACTGCTGGAAGTCACCGTAAGTTTTCTGTGTCACAGAGTCCTTAATGACTTTCTGAGGAAATGACGGAGCTGATGTAATCTGAAGAAACAATTACACTCACGGAATCGCATATGTGATTTGTGAAACACTTTCCTTAGGAAACTCAAGCCTTAAGAACAGTATGATTTTCCAGTATGACAGTATGTCTTTCTACAACTAGAAAGACAATCCTGTCAAAATGGACAGTTGTAAGTGTGTTCTTAACCATCCATTTTTAACAGCTTTGTCCAATTCAGGGTCGAGGGGAGCCTGTTCTGGCAAGCAACAGGTGCAAGGCAGGATACACCCTGGACAGGATGCCTGTCCATTGCAGGGCACACACAGACACAGATACGCACAAACTCACACCAGGGCCAGTTTTCATAGAAGCCAATTAACCTCCCAGTGCTGTAAGTCTTTGGACTGTGAGAGGAAACCAGAGTGCGCTAAGGAAATCCTTCCAATCACAGGGGGAACATACAAACTCCATGCAGATAGTTTCTCAGGAATTGAACCCAGGGCCTCAGCACTGTGAGGCAGCACTGTGCCACCATGCCACCCCCCATGAAAAGCATAACAGATAAAAATTTCACTTGAGACATGCAGCATATGGCTGGGATAAAGGGCTGTTTGCCACACTAAGAATGACGTGAAGAGTTTCGGGTCTTCAAGTAATTAGCAATTAATTTACAACCAGTTTAGTTTCACAGCGGGCTGCACTGGTACTTTATTACAAATGTAATCATGCCGCCCACCTTCCTATTCTAGTGGACAGTCCCTAACTCAAATGGCCCACAAACATGTCACAGATAGAGATGGAAGGTAACACTTCTAATACTGACAGCTGACATGAATATCTGACGGCGTCATTATCACTCGCTCAGGGACATCCAGAGCATCACATCTCCCCTATCCGTCAGGTAGTCTAAGCTGATGCTTCCGAACGTGCAAGTATTAAAAAGGAGAAAACACAAATGAACAACAACACGAACCTCTGCCTCAAACCCGGGTCAAGTCCGCCCGCAGCCACACACAAACACAGGGTGTGGATACAGACAGATGCACACCTGCCCTGCTGAAGAACATGAGTATCAATGCACACACAACGAGGCCATTCGGCCACACCTGACAGGATTGATTGTGAGGATCTGTCTGACCCAGGGACCACATCCAGACATTTCTTGAAACACGCCAGGGCACCGGCTTCAATAAGATAGCTGTTTCAGACCCTCCCAAGCCTGAGTGTAAACGAATGCCTCCTGGTTTCACTTCTGAATGCACTGCCCCATAGTTTTCACTTCTGCTCCATGCTTTGCGTTTCACTGTTGGTTCTGAAGAAGTGAGCTGGGTTGCATTTTTATTGCTTTTTATTGCTATAGAGTCTAGATTAAGTCATTTTCATAAGCAACTTCTCCAAGGTTGGTGCTTCCCATCGGTACTTAAAATGCATATTTTACATCCTGCACGAAATACACTGAACTTATCTACATTAAAATTCATCTTTCAGGTGTTTGCCCAGTCTTGAATTCAGTCTAAATCTTTCTGAATATCCTTTGCAGCTCCCCAGATTTTTCTTAATCCTTCAAGTTTAAGCCGATCTGAAAAACTGAGAAGTTAACTAGTAGATTGTTACACATTAGAACGATCAGTGGTCCTAGTACAGGGAGGAACGCCATTAATTAATTAATTTCACTACCCCAGTTCCCCCATCTGTAATCTGTTTCCTAACCATTAACCAGTTATTCGTTCCACCTTGAGAGCCTACCACTTTCCTGCAATTTCAGGTCTTTTAAAAATATAAATACAAATGGACCACATGACACGTTTGCTTTGTATTCTCAGCATAGAAGTGGGGCAAGTGCAAATCTTAGACAGGGAATATGACTAGGGTGTAAGAACTGACTCACGTAGCAGACCTGGGATTTCTAAGCAACCACAGGGGAACCCCAGCTCGGTCAGTTTCATGAGGGCTTGTTTTAGTTGCCTACCCACTCAGAGAAAAGAGAAAGCCCACAATGCCTGCTTCAATGCCAGTTACTGTTGACCTAAACAGCATTTCTGAACTGAAGGCCATGGACTGTGTTTACAGATGTGAATGCAAGCACATGGGATTAAGTGTTACTTATCATTTTGGGGAACCCAGTTGTTAATTCAGATTTTCAAGACCTTCAGCACTCTCCAGAACGCCTTGCAAATGTATTCTGGACTGGAGGGGTGGTCAGTACAGAGTATTTATGTGTTTCCAGCTCGATTTGCTTTAACGTTTTAAGTTTTTGAGTATTTTTTTAAGTATTTTTGTCTTTGTCTGTTTCTCCTCTAAAAAAGCGAGATACATAGCCCACAGAATTGGAACACATTTAAGAAAGCCTGGCGTGTAGAAGCCACAGCAAACAGGAGGAGGAGTGTTGCTTAAATTGGATCATTACATGGACATGTTCGTTCACCTTGCTGTTGCCCAGGAGAAGATATTAGTCAAACAAGCCAAGCAGTTTCTAAACTGGAACTCGCTGATATGATTGTATGACAAATTCTGGCAAAATTTGCATAGCAGAGCAGAGTAAAAGGAACTGGCCAGGCCATTTGCATGCTTTTGTTCTGCTAAAAAACACCAGAAAAAGCATAGTGTTTTATTTTTAAAATACTTTAAAATGTTTTACATATTTTTAGAGAATGAAAACGAGGTGGAAAAAACGTTTTGTTCACATTGTGTGAGAAGAATGTTACAGAAACAAAGACTTTCTTTCATCTTCTTGTATAAAGCCACAATTAATAAACACATAGATTTTTTATTAGGATTTATCAGAGTGACATAGCTAACTCTAAGCAGTGGCACAAATACATTTAGACAAAGACCTAAAATGATAAGCTGTAGAGGTTAGAATGGGAGTTAAGACCAGTAGACTAGATTACTCTTTATCAAATCGCAGGAGACAGAACTTAAAAAGCAGAATAACAACACGCGACAGTTCCTTCTCTTGTAGTGTTGCAATCGGACAAAGAGATAATCAATATTCATACCCATAATTCATGGTGCACAGTGAGCTAAACAGCTGAAATCTTCTGTACGTCATATAGGATGTCAATGTAGGGTAAGTGGGTTGGGCTCTTAATACATCCTCTTTTTTAGAAATTTTCAATTTCTGCAACATAATAAAGTCTTTTCCAACCTTTCGGCACACAGAATAAAGTAACACATGCAATGTGTGTTTTTTAGAAAACTTGGGTTTAGAAGTTCAGAGGCTATGAGTAAGAGACTAGCTTTATTACGTCAGTTTGGCTTCATGCAGCTCTCTCTTGACACTGAGCACATTAAAGCCAGCCCCTTTTCACTGATTCCTATCAGTGTTTTCAGAGGTATTACTTGCTCAGCTGTTTCAGAAACATAACTTCTATCTTCAATGAAAAGGGAACTAATCCGTTTCTTACTAACAGTAACATATAAACAAATGTTCTTACACAGAAGGCACTGAATCTTATACATACTGACATTTCAGCTCCTCTATGCCCTACCGTATACTGTACTGGGGGGCTGCTCGTGAATGAAGTTTTCACTATTTTTACACATGTGGGTTTCAGAAAAAGACAGGAAATGTCCTCAGTTTGCAGCTGCAGAGGTAAAGCAGACTATTACCTTGCATGCTAATGAATGGCGGATGAGAACTGAAGGTCATGCAGTTCAGCGCAATGAGAAGGGATCTTTTACATTAACAGCACTTGGCACAGCAAGCAGGAAATGTATACCTCTGCAGGGAATGAACCGACTCCATTCACAATTATTCCACTGTTTACAGCAAGGGAATGGAAACAAAAACAAAACAGCTTGAAATAACATTTTGGATTTGTCCCCGATTTGAATACCAAATGCCTTCTCCTGAAGTCTTGACTTGCAAATATACAGAGGTGTGCTCTATCCTGTATACACTTCAACAGATCAATGCAGTGTTAGCTAGCACTGGAAAACAGACTTCAACTTCACTGACTTTGAAACATATGTATGTAGATCATGCCTGAGCAAGCTTCTGTGTGACAAGATGATATAGAATATATGACAAGCAATTGCAGTGAGGATACATGATGTGTGACAGTCGATCACTGGTTGGAATGAATTTGATGTATAAAGAGGGCATTAGCTTGGTTGTTCCATCTCCTGAAAACTACAATTGTGAAGCATGGTTTTAAATTATTTAAAAAACTACTCAGAAGGAAGAAAAAATAACATTCTTGACTGAACTTCTGAAAGCCCTACATTTATGTCAGACAGAGTATTGGATCTCACCAGACCTAAACTGAGAACATGACAGAAGGAAAAGGCAATGACTACAGCGCTGTCACTAGGACAGTCACTGAAGCTGTAACTACGACGGGCAGAGATAAGTGCCTGGTCTGCACCAAATGCTGGGAAACGAATGCTCTATGAGGGTGTTACACACTGAGGTTTCTATGTGAGAGACAGAAAGAACTATCTTAAATGATTAATTGGAGGTGCTAACACGGGAATGTCAATTTGGAATCTGCTAAAAGCTGTTTTCTCCTCATTCCCCCCTCACAAAAAAAAAATATATTTCAGACTGACAAAAAACAACATTTTGCACACTTCTTATTTTGGCTGTAAAATGTTGAAATCATGAAATCATTCCCTTTCATAAGGGGATGTGTGCATTTCCTTTCTAATGTCAACAAGTTTAGTTCCACATTTGAAGGTTTTGCAATAAGGAAAGACAGCTGACACCAACCTATCCCAGTGTCCTTGTCTTCCACACTGCTGAACAGCCCTCAGCACCAAGAATGAGCTTCTGCTTGTCTCTGACATCAGGCGGAATTATTATGTATAAACTTTCAGGATGTATTCTGTGATAGCCAGTGTCTTTTACATCTTGAAATTGGTGTTATAATAGGTGCTGCAACTATATTTAAATTCCAAGATCCACTGGTAACGAACTTTCCATTATTTAACTGCTTTCAGAAAATGCAATCATCTAAAAATCATTGCGCTACTGTATGATTTCAATGACATCAGAAAATATATTTTAATTTTGGTTAAATGCTAATTGGAATGAGAGTGCATATCTTTTACATTGCAGTCCCTGTGAATGTGACATCAGTGCTGAATGTACTGCTGTAGTCTCGGTTTCTGTTGCTTTCATATTAATATTAGGTCCTCAGTTAGACAGCGTTGGATACCATTGCTAGTACAAAACAAACCAATGTTTATAACTGGAATTATGAAATTAAGTGGCGTTTAACTTCACAATAAAACCACAATGTTAAAATGCGGCCCTCAAAGTTGAAAGAATAGAAACAACTGATAAGGAAAGGCAAACATACCTTTGATGCAGAGAGATGAGAGAAACAAGGAGATCAGGCCTTTCTCCAGATTAAAATTTAAGACAAAATATATCATTAAACCACCACGTCCGCTCCAAAGAATGACACGGATTCAACCAAGTAAACTCATAATCCACTTCACAGCGGCGCTGGTTAACGCCAAGAACACACTCCTGAGACAGAGGCTGCCCTAGATCTTCACTTGACAGAACTCGGAAAAAGTCGGTGTCTTGATCTGGCAGCTCAGATTTGATGCTTCAATCCTGAATGGTGCCTGGCTTTTGGTTTCTGGGAGTTAGAATACAAAACAAGCCATTTGCTTCAAGCTACCCCTCGCACAGCAAAGAACACATGGAATAATCTATTCTCACTCCGAAGGCCTTTTAACGTCCGAGACAATGTTGCATTATTGCCGATGGTGTTGCAATGTGTACTCTGCCGGGCATTTACATAATTTCTGCATCATATTATCCCCTTGCTCTTAGCGTGATCAAATTTCCAAAACCACCAAACAGGAAGATCAGTCTCCCATTCTGTTAAGGAAGCAGGTGCTGACCAGGATCCAAACTATTGTGTGTGACCAAAAAGGGTCGAGAAACTGCTTGAGAATTCTGCAAGGAGTACATTGTATTGTGGCGTTTTGATTGATATGGTTGCAGATATTCCTATGGCTTTCCTCTCGGCTATAAACAGCCTGTTTCTTCTATAATGAGAATGAGCTTATGGTAGCTTTAGGAAACAAAGGGGCTTAAACAATGCGGCAACAAGCCCTGTTGTTTAAAGGCATTAAGCTCATGGGGAATTCTTCATTGATTTACCCACACTCCCTGGATCTTTAGCTACAAAACAGAATTCAAGTTTGCGGCTTATGGGTCGCTTATGGGACTGGTACATAATCAATACACGCGTCGACCGTGAGTCCTCTCCAGGCCACAGCCTTTGAAGTTGGGCAAAGTGGACTGATGCTGTCTGAAGTGGTGAGCACGTGGTGAGCACGTTTACGTGGCGTTTTTGAGCAGCAGTGCAGGCAGATGGAGAGAAGGTGCAGCTCCAAACCAAGATCAGGAAATACATGCTGCTTTTCTAGTGGTCCCAGCTTCCTTTTCCTACCATTCATCCCTGATCATCTGTTTCAGCGCTAAAGAGCTGTCTGCCTCCCGAGGTGAAAAAAAACTGTTAGAGGAGTGGAAAAACAAAACAAAAGATGCACCCCACACACACCTGCAGAACAGCACAAAATGAGCTAAATGAGCTTCTTCTTCTGCTGTGTAAAGTCACTCAGCCACTTCATATGCATTTTATGTGAACTCAACGGTAATTTGTATCAGACTGGAGATAAAATGTAAATTGTGTGTGTGTGAGCTAGTGCCCTCTGCTTTTTAGTAAATGTGACACTCAAACAAGAATAGACAATTCAAGTCCTCAGGGGTGGGAGGGTCCTATGGTTTTCACTACAATTCCGCTGTTAATTACTCATTAATAATGAACAAGTTATTTGGAGAAGTTGTCAAATCACTTGTTTAGCTTCGGTCCTAACCAGTTCTTGATTAAAAACCATTCCTAAATCCAGCAGGAATCCACCCCTCCTGGACTGGAGACAGGCTGCTTTCTATCAGCCCTTGAAACCTGTGCTGTGACCGAATATAACCCTGTTGGCCATGGTTATAAGATGCTATCTGGATTCATTTTCCTTTCTCACCTAGTTCTTGAAAATATGCTGCTCTGTAAAATCTAATGCCAA